ATTATAGTTTCTTTGTTCAGTAAAAGGAATGTTTCATTCCAAATGGTGGAATACGCATAGCATAGTTTTATAAAAAAGATATTTAGTAATTAATTTAAAACATGATATATTGTATATGGTTGCAAAAATCAAATAAATTTACGATTTTTTTTTAAGAAAATACAATAAGATGAAACAGTTTATTTTCTTTTGAAGCATCTTAATTATATAATAAAAAGAAGGAGAGTATAACTAAAAGTAATTTAATGTGAGATTAATAGAAAGGTCATTTTGCTGAATATTCATAAGAGAAGCAATAATTAAGAATATAGCCATAGCAAAAGTGATGGGACAATTAACACCACTTCTGGACGGTTTTCTCCTTTCACTCGCGTGCGCGTCATTAAGAGGCGAGTCCACTATTTTTCATAACACTTATATTACAACAAGCATGTGTATGGAAACGCTACGTGTCCTATCGTGTTATGAACAATTAGGAAAATAATACTACAATACATTTCATGTTGTATAGGAAGTTAAAACGCGTAACAACAAACGTCTATGTATATTGTGGGCTACAATAAGGATTCCCCTATGGAAATTGGGGGGAGGGGGGAGGAAGTACTTTCCTATCAGGTATATAGTATAGGAAACAAGGCCAAGTAGGAACAGGTGCATGAGGAAGGTCATACCATGAGAGTAAATCGCCGGCGTACATATGCAAGGTCAAATAAGACTATTATACAGATTAGAAAGTATAGTAAAACTATAACACGACACTGCACACGTCTACTACATTTCCTCTATGGAGAAACAATGGAGGCATGTATGGATATGACCCATTAGAAACACTATATTATAATATATGTATGATATAGTATAGGCACCGAAAAGCGAGAAAAACAAGAAGCATAGGTGTATTGGAGGCTCTAAAGTGTACTCCAATACAATATAATAAACATTATAAAAGGTGAGAACATAAAAAGCTTGAAAATGTTAGATTATACTATATAACGTATATAAGGTAACATATATAAGGTAAACAAGCATATATGGGAAATGCGGGTGCAAAAACAAAAGTGTATACTATTGGTGATATAGTATAGAATGCGGAGGGTAATCGCAATTTTCTGGTTGAAGAAAAAAAACACTTCACAGCTTATGATGGCATGTTAAAAAGGAACCAAATTATGGGCTACCAAAGTAAAAACCTATATAGTTAAAATGTAACATATTACCCTATGAAAAAAACAATTTCATTGAAGGTCAATTTAAAAGGCAGCATCCAAAACAAAGGTCTCTGTCTTTGCCAAATTGGATGATCCAGATACTATAGAATATACTATTGAGTCGTTAGTATAGTACGGGATTCGAAAGGGAGGAAACTAGAATCCATGTTAACCGTTACTCGAAAATGTATAAAGAGCCTCTGAAGAATAGCCACATTACAGACTATATTATCTTGCTCTCGTATAGAAAGAATTATGTATAGTACAGAACAAAGGATTCAAGTGTATGGTACCTTTTCGTTTTGGTGACAAAAAAAAACAAAGAAACACAGTACATACTACTAGAAATATAGAATAGTTTGTTAAGACAACAATTCACACAACTACTGCATTAGCGAAGCTGTTATGATATGGAGAGTTAAGGTTTTAAAAAAAGAGTATGTGAAGGGACATAAAACACTAATGAAAAGAACTGCAAGAAAGGACATTCATTATTTTAGAGCATAACTTAGTACATAACGTGCTGACATAGTGAAAACAAGGATAAGAGGAGGTCTGATGAAGCACATGCTTCGATTTCTTAGTTGAAAAGAAGCGAGAGAATGATACCAGCGCAAACGAAAAACTCAACCCAAGAAAAGGCAATACACTGCCGGTACAATCTCTCTCTCTTTGCAAACTTAAGAACTTCAGTTTCGAGCTTCTCATTATGTTCCACAGTACTGTTGCAGACATCGACTGAGGCTTGATCAGAGGACATAGTGTTGTTTTGCTGGAGTAGCATCAGAAAGCACGTTTTTTATCAGCTTTATCCATCTCAAACTGAAGTCGTTGTTTATTCTCTTTCGGCTGGTAGGTTCGAACCCAGTCTCAAACAAGCACTCTGGCAAGCCGAACTCTTCCATATTGTACATGTAAAGGCTAGACGTTAACAACATCAGTGTAATGAAACTAATATATAAACAAGTTTGAGCACAAACAACTGGTGAAAATGGTACAAAAGAAACATAGCTGAAACTATTCAGGTTACCTAACCTACTTCGGTGGACACTATAGTAGCGGAAGAGCGGATAAGAAATATGTTTCTTTTATATGATGGCACTAAACATGTATGACTACACTATATACATTTAGCGCTAGTATTTTTCCTCTTACACCGCTGGTGTAGAACAACATTGGTCTATACTATATATGTTTACCAATAGTATAGTCATGATCCGATCAACATTAATTCAGACAACCACTATATAAGAAAAACAATAAAGTATTCAAGTTAACAACCTAGGCATCCTACTCTATACACATATACTCAAACAACAATACTTACCTTTTAGGCATCTTACTGTAGCCATACTATATACATTTTCATATTGTATTGTCCACATTTGATGCTCATAGAACCACTACTATACGTGTTTTCAAATAGTGTCCATACTATATACGTTGGCCAATAGTATAGGCCTCCTACTCTATCCACATATATACATGTTAGAAGTAAAACATTATAAACCTTACAATAGACAAGAAAAACCAAAATGCAAGTACCAGGACAACAAACTAGGTAATATATCTATACTATAAGGTCTTTCCAATAGTATAGTCCACCAATTGAATATATCAATGTCAAATGTTATCTATACTATAAACGTTTTCCAATATTATACGCCTCCTACTTTATACACATATACTCATACAACAATACTTACCTTTTTGGCATCTTAATGTAGTTATACTATGAACATATTCACATAGTATAGTCCACATTTGATGCACATAGTTCCGCGACTATACATGTTTTCAAATAGTATCCATACTATATACGTTGCCCTATAATATAGGCCACCTACTCTATACAAAGATATACATATTAGCAAACATATTACGATCTATACATAAATATACATGCGACACATATATACTATGATTACAATAGTTTAGATTCTTGAGGTTAGAACTCTATGCACATATGTAGATGGTAACACAAACACATATCTATAGACACATCACATATGTACTGTTAACGTATAGTCTACTCCTATACTTGTATCATGATTCTCGAGAAAATGTAATAACCAAAGTGTACTCCTATACTAACCCAAAACTCGAACATTCTATACTACAAACACATATTTATAGACACATCATTATCCTCAACACATCAGTTGGTCCGAGAACCACAAATCGGAAACCCACCTTTGAAATACATTCCGTCAACAACGTAAACTAATATTCAACCAATAACACAAGTTATATCTAAAAATAATCTCAATTTTGTCATAATAAGGTAGATCAGACAACATGCAAGTGAGTTTTGGGGGAAATAAAAAATTTAACCATTACCGACATAATGGTATAACACAGTCGCCGGAATTGTGCCGGAGGTTGTAAAATCGAATACTTAGTCAAGGTAATTACGAGGTTTACCTTCCAGATTTTGCTTTTATGACTTCGGCTCCGACGAATCTTTATCCTACGCCTTCTCAATCGGTTACAGAAACGATTTCTCAGTCATCGTCCTCTCGGATGTGGCTTCTCCGCCGTAAGAAGTGTCCGCAGAAGTCGGAAGCCTCAATTACCTGTTATTCTAATTTTGTGAGCGGGAAATAGAGTACTGATATTTAGGGTTATGGAATGAGGGAGAGGATGATATCCACGCGCAGGAAAGGGGTATAAGAGCCATTATATGTACTATTATGTATCATACCATACCCATGAGCTTACTATGGGTATGGAGTTTTTTTTTCCAATACTTATTGTTATTAGCCCAAATTTCCCTTAATAGAATGTAGAAATTGTCGACTAGTGAGAATTAGACACACGTCCTTGGTGAGTCCGTTCCTTTCTCCACGCAGAGCCGTGCCTGAATAAAAGCTAGTGAAGCATATGCTTCAGGGCCTAAGAAAATATATATTATTATGGGGCCAATTATGACAGAAATATCTTCCGGCTCTAGTGGTAGCAGTTACTACCTGTGTATTAAAAGACCTGGGTTCAAGTACCTACACCTACATTTTTCAGTATTTTTACGATTTTTATAAATTGAAAGGGCCAAAAAATTCTCTTGGTTTGTGGGCCAATATTTCTCAGGCACGGCCCTGTCTCCACGACATGAGAACATCCATAGTACTTGTGTTGATAATGACTGAGGATTGACAACTTCAACTTCCAAGTGTTCTTTGTCTTTTTTGAATTAAAGTACATTTTAACCACAAAATAAGTTTAAAGTACAACTTTACCGTTTGTTTCTTTCACCGCATGACAACAAGCGTTAAGTAGGTACGTGTTCCTCTTTATGTCCATATCATTGGCCGCTCAGGTTCACACCATGCGCATATGTATCTGACTATCTGTAAATTCCTTGCACTTGTCAACATCGGAGATGTCGGCCCCGCTTCAAGATCTTTGATCTGTCTAATCTCAAGCATTAATGTTGATAATAACTTTAAAAAGGGTCATAAACATATCACATATGTATAAATATGCACATGATGTGGATGCATGTGAAGAGGAATGCCCTAGCCAATATTAAATCTTATGATCGTTATTGTAAATGATTTAAAAAAACAAGGAACAAACAAGTAATTCATGAGGAATTTGGTAAATATTTTCATTATTATTGTCCATGATGAAAGCAATACTATTACAAATATATTGGGCTTTCCAATAAACATGGCTCATTAAAAATCAGACCATCACAAACGGAAACATAAAACATAGTAGGTTCACTGGTCAAGAAGTTCCATTACAAAACTCAAAACATATAAACTTCTAAAACATTTATACAAGAAAAGCTTAAATGGATTCTGAGAGTTTATCTATAGCGTCCCAATCAATCTCTAAAGAAGGGTACTTCTGCAAACCCATGCAAAAGCTCTCATCTTCCTTTATCCATTCGCTTGAGAAATCCAACAACGTTATATCAGATTCAGGAGAGGAACTAGACCCGTATCCAAATTTATCGGGAACTTCACGTTCTTGATCCGGTTTAGGACCGGTATGATGAAAACCAAAGAACCCTTCCTCTGTTTTGGCCGGTTTCTTGAGCTCATGCAGGGGAAGATCAGAGTTATTGAATATGGATTCGATCTTAGCATTGACAGTAGGAGACAACGTCTGCTTGTATTCTCCAATGTTCCGGAAATTGAGACGAGCGTTTTCTCCTCTTATCTTACGAGCAGCTTGATCGTAAGCTAATGCAGCTTCTTCCGCGGTTTCGAACGTACCGAGCCATAACCGGGTTCTGGTTTTAGGCAACCGTATCTCAGCAACCCATTTACCCCAGTGTCGCTGTCTTACACCACGGTATAGTTTAACCGGTCTTGTCTTCATTAGGGTTGGTTTAGCGTTGAGAAGATGGATGTTATGGGCACTACCTTGGTTTTGTCTGAGATGTAACTCTCTTTGAATTTGGAGGATTTGAGTGGGAGTGAGCTGGTTTAGCCCAATTGGACCGGTTTGGTTATTGGGAGTTAATGGTTCTTGTTTTGATGAAGAAGATGAAGTTACCTTCATGAACGATTCAAGAGCTTGCATGAACTCTTCTGTGCAGCCATTCATGTGCAAAGCTACTTCCATTGGTGATTTAGTACTAACAAAAAAAAAATGAAAATAGACACTTAAGAGCAAAGAGATGAGCTTCTAGAAAAAAAAAAAGAAGCCCTAATGGGAAATAATTTGGCTGAATAATATGGAAAAGGCACAGGAACAAAGATTTTTGTTTGTTGTTTAGATTTGAAATATTCTTGTGTTTGATAGTTTGGCCATGTCCTTTGGCTTATATATGTGGTAAAGTCAATGACATTAGTGACGTCATGTCTATGTTGTCAATAATTATATACAACAACAAATGCGTATATCTAAGAAAATGAATGCATCGAAGTAAAATATTTTAATCAAATAAGCGTGTTGACAATTGCTATGTCCACTCAAATTTCGTTATGTTCTCAAGTCAATATTCCTCTTTAATTAAAAATAAAAAGAAGAGAAGAACCAACTGACTCATACAGTTTTATGGATTTTTACCATGTTTTAAATTCATTGCGTACTGAATAAAATGAAAGAATGTATTTGAAGAATTCAATCTCATGATGCAACTATTGCCCTCACAGCATTATGTGAGTATAGTTGGTAGTGAAAGTGTCTTATTTGTACCACTTGATTAAAGTTATAGACGCTGACTAATAAAATACATAAGTAGAGTAGTAAGAATAATTATTTAAGGAATTAGCATTCGATACTGTTTTTAAATGAATGTATATTATTTGGAATGATAAAGAATGATAAAGGATCCTTTCAAATTAGCATCCTTATGTTGTACTTGAGATGATTTCCATTTTTTCAGTTTAACTTGTAAAATCTTAATGAATGTAAATAAATTAGACATTTATGAAAATTTTATTCCCAAAAATACATTCCAGTTAGACCTTTAATAGTTTTTCCTCTGTTTCGAATTATATGTCATTCTAGAGAAAAAAAAGTTTGTTTCAAAATAAATGGTGTTTTAAAGTTTCGAGACAAAATTTATTTGGTTTATCTGATATTCAATTTTTCTATTGTTTGAAAAATTGTTAGGTGTATAGATAATTGTGTTTTTATCTTGAAAATATGTAAAATTAAATGATTTTTTAATCTGTGTGAAAAACACAACTAAAATGACGTATGGAGTATTTGATAACAACAAAACGACATGTTTACAACGTATAGTTCTTCTTTCCAAGAACATATATCATTAAATATCTGTACAGAAACTTTGGCAATGACTGTAATAAACATTTTGATATTTGATATTTGCTTTTTTGAGTGTTGTGCATTTTATTTGTCACTTTTAATTGGAAAATAGCGCAGGCTAAACACTATGAACAGAAACGAAACGGAGTTGGAACCAATCAGCATTGAGTGTGGAAACAAGCAGGCCCTACATAGGTAAACTCTATTGGGTTGGGTCCCATGTGAGACGTGTTCACACGTTGTGTCCTACGTGGATTTGACTAGTAAACTACGCAAATCACCTTCTTCAATCTTCAGTCTCATTTTAGCAGCACAAATTCTTCAGCTCCTGACTCCTGCCTGGAATTTTTTTGTTATTTAGAAACCGACAAAGATTTCTTTACTTAGGAGTTTATACATTTTATATATATACACTATAGTATTCCAATTTTAATTATAAGATAAACATAGTATTAAAAAGAAATGAGGCTCGATGTCAAACAATATGAAAGAAATGGTCAATGTATATAGAATATAACTTTAGGTAGTATATTTGGATTCTTTATCAGTTTTTTTTTTGCTTCAGGAAAAGCGTAGAACTTTAGGTTGCTTCTCGTGAATCTTCTCTACTTTTGTTTTTACGTTTTGAGAAGATATTTTAATATTGACCATCAATGCCATCAATGTTATTAGGACATCTCTATCTTTTTTTTTTTTTTGGTCAAAAGGACATCTCTATCTGTATTCTATATTTACTATAAAATGAATGGAAAATGGAATAATGAACAAAAAGTAAAAGATTACTCCAGTATTTATAGAGTAATGTTTTTATTTTTTGTTCATTATTTTTTTTACCATTCTATTTTAGAGTAAAATATGAAAATAGGATAGAAATGATTTTAGTAACTATTTACAACAACCACCACAGAAATTGAAAAGTTACTATCATTTCTCTTGTATTTCTTGTTTTTGTTTTATAAATAACACTTATAGATATAGGAGTGCATAATTCGACTAACCATTTCGATTAAGCCATGCGCATTTTATTACTAATGTACATAGTTTATATAAGTGATTGGTTTATACTTATGACCAATGTCGATGTTGTATCATCACATATTCACCTAGGTTTTTGTTTGTTTGCTTAGAAGTATCATCACATACGTTTAACGAAAACGCATATATGAAACCGCTAATTCGTGGAGTAATCTTTTACTTTTTGTTCTACGGGAGAAATGAAAAATCATAAAACCAAAAGAACTTGATATGAAACCGCTAATTCGTTGACTATAGGCCATTCTTTGTCAAGAAAAAATATTAAATAGTTGACTTTTGCATGTCAAAGCAGAATATCCGCTATTCTTAATGTATACATTGCTTATCTAATAGACGTGATTAGGTAGCCTAATCAATATTTATCATGATTCAATGGACCTTTATAGATTATTAGCACCAGTGGACTCTCACCGATGGCATTCTACCTTTATCTTTACTTAATTCCAACAAAGTTAAACGACACTTTGAATCACCTAATTCTCAAGGTTCATCAAGGGGTATTTGAAGTAACAAAAGGATGAGAAACAATACGCAAACATGCTCAATAGAGATGAGACATACAACACAAACCAATATGGTAACAATTCCTAAAGAACAGACACAAATGAGTGGAGAAGCAAATTTTTCACTAACATAGATGCAATAATCAGATGATGATAATAGAAGTTATGATATGCATACATGATTTTCTTAAAATAGTACCTTTGTGTTGTTGTAACATTTATATGGGACATGGGTTGTGAAGAAAGATATATTTTATATGTCTCAAGAATACACTGTATTTAAAATAGAGTTAGAATTTGTTGTTTTTTTGTTGATCCAAATCTATACAATCAAGGAATAATAATTCTTGCAAAAATAAATGTAACAATTTTAGTCGTAAAAACTATGCCTTTGTGGAATGCAATCTTCAGTCAATCTTCCAGCCACACTAGAATAACCTTTCCTTAATCTACCTTTGTTCATACTCTTTACATCAACTTCTACTGCAAAGATTGCACAGACCGGTCTGTGATCTGAAAACCGTGATTCTCCTCGAATATAAGAAAGTTGTTCTATTCTTTCTCCTCTCCACAGAATCCTATCACACCTAAAAAAATTCCAAATTAAGATTTTTAATCAATACACACCACAGAAAACGTAAGTCTTAAGTTTTGGACTATTACCAAGCAGGAGTACGACGTTTTCTCTTTGACTTAGTGGTCTCTCCGGCGTAAGCATCTGAGTTTTGAGTGTATTTATACGTTGGAGCAAAGAAGATTTGACCTTCTTGAAATCCAGAGAAGACTCTTCCTGCTCCTCTTTCAATGTTGAGCTGACATTATTAGAGATCAGAGAAGTTGGTAAACCACAAAAAAGGGAACAAAACTTAGAAAATTAGGTTTTTAAAATGATTTATATTACAAAACCTGGTCTTTCTCAAGAAGGGTATCCCAATCATTGTCTTCTAGTAATACTCTTGTCTCTTCATAAGTTAAAGCAATTCTGTAATTCAAATCTCCAAGCCAAACCACTCGGCTGCAAATTTCCAAAGACTCTTTTAGCCGTTTTTATTTGCTTATAGAGCCAAAAAGTCTTATTATTTTCATGGAAACATACTCATGATCAAGGATTTTTTCGGGTGCGCGACAACTAGGGTTCTTGGTGATTTTGGGGAATTGAGTATGCTTTATAATCTCAGCTACATCTGCATTTCTTCTCATCTCATCACCTTCTTTCTCACCAGAAGCCAAATGGCTACACACAAAGCAAAAGCTTGTTTGGTGCAGTGATATACTTATAGCAATACATCCCTGTAAAAAGCACAAAGATATAGATTATTTGAATTTACTTGTGTCACAATCCATATAAAGAAAAGGTTGTCTTACCTTGTTTCCCAAGCGACCCATGATTCCTCTTCCAACAGAATCAACCCTAAGATGAGATATATGTGGAATCAACTCTTTTCTAGCCCAAACAGACAAAAACAAACCAACCATCTGTTTACTAGCAATCAATCTATAACTCATTTGTCCCGGCATCTTGGTAGTGGCAGGAACATCATCAAACAGTAGATTCTCATGAACCCTAAAATTCTCAGGCTCCACATAGTTATTGTTATCTACAAGACTATACTTTTTCGACAGCCTTGCTTCCCAACCAGCTGAAGTACCGATAACTTGACAATTACAAGTCTTCAAAAGACTTGAATCGACTCGATAGTTTCTGCTCAAGACTTTAAGATTAGGTCTTTGAAAGAAACTAAGACCACTTGGTGTTCTTGGCTCTTCACCACGAACACTACTACTAGAGGTTGTTGTTCCTGAAGCAGAGTCTTGTTTCGGTTTGTTTAAGGTTTGGCTTATTAGAGCTAACCATTTAGCTGCTGGCTCATTGTCTTCAACTACCAATACGTTTCCTGCACTTAGAGGAACAATCTCTTGAAACCTGAGATACAAACCATGCAATGATAATTCATTTTTTTATTAACTTTAAAGAACCTATAAATCCAACGCTTATCAAATTTTAATTCATACCCACAGATATATATATCTGCTGTGCCTTCAAGAAGTAAGAAGTCTTCTAGGTTAAGATCGTTGTTTGGTGTTCTTCCTCCTACATTCCACGTAGCTACAAACACTCTGAGATTGATAAAACAAAAGTGAATATGAATCTAAAGAAACAAAGAGATTAATTCATTATCAAACCTGAGTTCACGAATCTCTGTTGTTGCCATAGAACTAGATAGATTAAAGCCTTCCATTCTCTCTGACGTATTTTACAAGAAAACATATCAACATTTTCTTAGCAAAACCTAGGTTTCAATTGGGATCAAGAAGACCCCTCATACATATCAAGATAAAGAAGATTTTTTTTTTTTTTTTGACATTCGTATGAAAATATAAACTTCTAGGGTAGGTTTACCCAATAAGTCAAAATTTTCCTAATTAACCACAAACTGGAAAAAAACAAATATCAGAAATGATCAGTGTACCAGAAGATGTCTTCAAAATCATCGAAGGAGAGTTGTCAAGAATCGGTTTCTTTCGAGAAGACATTTGTCGCTTCAAATCTATCAAACAAGATCCAATAGCCATTTGGTTAAAAAAACTGATAATATATATTTTCTTGTGATGTACGTTTAAGGAAATACCTTTGAAATATTCATTGTTGTTGTCTGCTTCCAAATCATGATTTCTTCTATTGTTCATATTATTTGATGCATCTTCTTCTTCTTCTTTACGCGACCGTCTTGATCCAAAAACCTTGGGAAGAATTGACTATTCTCTCCACAAAAACCAAAAACGAAAAACACTTATTTTTCAAGTTTAAATAAATCGAAATTAATGGGATTCACGTCGTGACATTTTCGAAGAGAATTATAATTAAAACAACTCTAGTGATAACAATAATTGAAGCAGGAAGAGAGAGAGAGAGATAACCTTCTTCGTCTTCTTGTCGCTTCGGTGGCTGTACTCAGAGTCCCTATCTTTATTGGAACTCATTCATCAAAATCTTCCACACAATTTAGTTACAAAAAAAAAAAAAAAAAATCTTCCACACAGTTAAAAAAAAAAAACTGGAAATAGAGAAGTTAAACATTGGTGTTAATAGATCTTGGAAGTGAAGGACACTTATTTCATGTTTATTTCTAGTTTTATGTTTATTTCAAGGGTGCGTTTTCCACGACTAATGAATATTGACAATTTGACATGAACAAAAAATATATGTTGTTTATTTTAATAGGAGAGAGAGATAGTTAATTAATTTTTACTTAGCAGTTATCATCAGAGGAAGAGTTAGTGTTTTGTTAATCAAAGTTAAAGAACAATTTTTCTAAATTAGTTTGAAAAGATCAGAGTTTGGGGCCAACTCATTCGGAGGTTCAAATAACAGGGAAGATATGCATTGCTTACAAATGTACTCAGATTTGTATTGCATATACGAAAATATCACATGAAGTCTGCTTTTGAAAACCACTTGTCAATAGAGGCTAACAGAATAACCCAAAGTTAGCCAGCCATATGTAAATTAAAATTCAATTATACATGTAGAAAATAATAACTGACTGTTTGATTTCATCATTTTTTATAGTTATTGTTAACGAATGATAATTATCTCAAATAATTTTCTGTCTGCAATAGTAAACTATAAAGATTTTTTTTAAGGATGATGGAAAAGATCATGACTTGATGAATCATATTTATTGTACTAAGAAAAGCTTTCTCTACAAATATTTTATAATATTTCTTAAAGGAAAAAATAATGCTTAAGATTTGATCATTTATTAGATAGAAGTTGTCCATTGTTAATTAGCGCATAAAATAGGAAAATCACGATTATAAAATTAAAACTAACATTTTCAATTGTTCCCTTGTTTATATCCTGAAATATATGCATAGCCTTTTTCCATTGGGAGTGAAGAAGTGACGATGGCCCGAAACCACAGATAGGACGTCCAATATTGAGTAAGAAAAGTTTTTTTTGTCGACCAAGTTTATGTGGAAGGCATATAATGCACAAGTATATATAATGGTGATATTACACTGAACATGCTTATTTTCTTTTAATTCTTTCAAAAAAGATATTACACTGAACAACAGTTTTATTTCAATATATAATGTAAATTTACAATAAGAGGGTATTGCACTGAAAATCTTTTTCAGAATAAAAGAAAGAAGATATATATTACACTGAAAAGGCTTTATAAATCTTAGTAAGCCCTTTCTCAAAAACAAAAAAAAATTATAAATCTAGTCCAACACGTGAAAGTACGTGAGTTATGACAACATATTTAGCTTTTTTATTTTAGAATATTGGATGCAAGAAGTCAACCTGCGTTTGGAATATATTTAAACCCCAAAATTTCAGCTCCGGTTTTAATAATGCGGTTAGCTTGTTCGAGAGCAAAGGCTTCTACTTAATGCATTATTTGTTCCCAGTCCAAAGCTTGCGTTGAGTCCCCACGTTTTAAGCCATATATACGTATCCATTCTAATATGCAATCAATCACATTAGATCATCGCCAATGCCATCACAGCATCATTATAATCAGATTAGCAGAAACCTTAGCTATGAAATTAGTATCAATCATGAAATCGTATAGGCTTGACATTATTTATATCAAGTTAAAATTTATATTAAAAAAAAAGGTTAAAATTTATAGCAGTAGGGGGAACTTGTATCACCATGGGTGCCGGGTGGACATATTCGTTATGGTCTGGAATCATTCGCGATTTTGGCTTTCTAAAACCAAATAAAAAATAATTGTTATGTTTGGTTTAGCTCGGTTATATTACGAGTTGGTTTGGTTATCGGTTCAGCAAAGCCAAGAAGGTGTTTAGCCGATTAAAGAAAAAAAACAGATGAGCCGAGGGGCCCAGTAAGGACCAACCATGACAGAGAGACCAGACTCTACGGCCTTCTCAGCCAAAAATCAAAATGCACTTTTTATATTTCCTAAAAAACAGAATGATATGATATAATCACTTTTAAAAAACTAGTAACAGTTAAATACAGTACTGACAATATGCTATAACTTTGCCACGAAGGTAAAGTTACAACTGACAAACTAATACATAAATATAATAATTTTGGCCACTAGGATTCTTCACGCTGAAGAAATCAAATATTTCATTCTTACTTTCAGACAAGCACACAGGAAACAAATGAAACTGTCTCTCACCCTCCCTTTGAAGGTAACAATATAGATCGTTCCCTAACCCTTGGATAACGTATCAGGGGACGATGATGATTTTAAGATATGTAGCCTTGCTTAGGATTTACAAATCTGAATATTTGACATTTTTATTTCTGAACACAGGATGGTGAAAAAATCAGGCGTACGTTGATTGATGATGGTTGTTACTTGAGAAGCGAGAGAGTCTCCGGTGTGTTGTTTCCAGAACTTTTTGCCAGTGACATTGCTCTCTCATATTCTGCTTCCAGAAACTCATCTTCTACTTCCAGAAACCTTTTCTTCTCCATCTGTAAGAAACTCTCTAACAATTATTTTTCTCTATCGCTACTATATTCTATATATTACCTAACAAGAAAATCTAGATTTAGAAGCATAGTTTGAAGAAAAACATATCGATTTTGTAGTCATCAAAGTCCTTGGCTTTCATCATCTGTAAGAAACGAACTCACAATTTTTTTCCTAGTTATTAACAAGAAATCTTAATTATAAGCATGGTAATTCTTTTTGTAAATTTTCTAACTCTTAGGTTCTAATAATACAAATACCTAAAAATACATATATATATATATATATTATACGTGTATGATTCTAAGTTTTACGGAAAATCCAATGAAAGTATATACTTTCGGTTGGATTTTCCGGTCAAGTTGAAGACGCTAGCTATAATTAAATATCAATATTTATATATATGTATTTTTAGATATCCAAGGTGAGAACCCATTGGTGGTGTCCGTAGGTGCATGGGATGGTATCTGATGTTCTACATTTGTATTAACTATTAGCTTCTAGAAGCATATCTGCATAAGTGATGGTACCTTTGTAATCTGGCTAGCTAAAACCTTGTTCTCTTCTCTCAACTGCTTCTCCTGTTTAAACAACATCACAACTCCATCAGTTCTCTAACATGTTATGAAACCCACCGTGATTCCAGTTCGGTGGTAAATAAACAATGAGGGGGGAGTAAGATTTGGTTAATATTTAAATGAAAGTCGATAGTAAGTCAGAAACTAAGAGAATACAAATTTACATATCTAGAGAGCTAAACTTGGTCTAGTGAATACTCTTGAGGATTGCAAAAAAAAAAAACTATAGTGGCCAGGATGGCTAATAAAAACTAGAGTGTTAACCTTTTCTTGAAGGGTCTTCACAAGCTCCATCATTAGCTCTGTCTGTAACATGAGATCAAGGGTTGTGTCAAATAGGAAACACGATCCAAGTCAAGCAGTGTCTAAACACTATGCTTAGAGTGAAAAATAGAAAAAAGATTAACAATACTTAATCTGAATAACATTGTAGCATCATATATACCTTCCTAACTCTAGTTATAGACAGAGCACTCTTGATCTGCTCTTCCAGGGAAATTAGGGATTCTACGCTTGTGTTATCACTTTTCGCTTCTTCAAGCTTGCTGCATATAAACGTAGATATTTTTTTTTTGATCAACTAAACGTAGATATATATAAATCAACAAACATAGAAAAGTTATTTTTTATCAAACTATTTTTTTCCACGCGGTGAAGGGAAAAAGGATTGTGCTAACCATTGCACTATCTCTAGTAACTCCTTAACTGAAATATAATTCCGAGTTTTTTCTGTTAGATCCTGCCATAAAAAAAAGGATGGGCATATTAGGAACTAGGTGGCCCATTAATCTCTAATATTAGAATTAGCTAGAGATTGAGGCCTATGCCCATTAATCTCTACATAATCTTAATAGAGAAAGGTCAAAAATATTGTGAATTTCTTGTGGTTGAGTCTGCCACAAGTGGTTTACAACCTTCCCGTAGACCTTCTAATGCAACACTATCAGTACTGAAAAACGAAGTACATCTGAATTGAGAAGCTCTATGGGTTTATTCGCTAGTATGGTATCATTTAATTGTTATATGTGTTAATCTCTCTCCAAAGTGTTTAGGCACTACGTACCCAAAGCATCTCAATGGACCATTCTAGCTTAAGATTCCCAATGCTCATCTCAATTACATATGCAGTGGATGACTTTGAGAGCAATGCATCTATAAATGGCTGAAAAGATGTAATTCTAACACTCGAGAATTAAGTTTGTTATTCAAGAAACTGAAGACCTACAATGTGTTAAAGCAATACACAAATTACTCGCATAGCAACCATCTCAATATAAACTATCTTTGTTGATTTATGCGCGGGTGGCTAAGAAATTCTTACCACCGTTTTAAGTTCACCAGCATGTTGTATTTCATAACGCTTGAGGATCTTGGCCATGCTGAAGTATAATCAAGAAAGAGACAAAGTATTAGATACACTTCATGGCAAACCATTTCAAAACTACGAAATAAATATAGCATCAATAGAGAGAAGCTAATTATATGAATAGTAACATTTTATTCTACAAAGTTTTGGTTATACAAATCAACTTTTCAGCCACTGAATTCATTTCCACTAATGGACAAATATGCACAATAACATTTTCTTCTAATCAAGCTAGTTAAATACCTCATACTTATCAGAGTTAAATAATCAACTTTTGTTATTCTAAGAATCCAAACAGCAGTGGAGAAAAAAGAATAAGTAGATAGGCAGATTGAAAACTAAATCCTGCTTAAAATGAAATCTCAATAAAATTCATGTTTTAGGTCTATATATAAAGACATTAAAATTTATTTTCCTCCAATACAGTGTAAGATTCTGATTGATACCGACATTCTTATCACAAATTCCATCCTACTTAATTTGTGCTGTCCATGACCTATTGCAAGATTTCAATTCATAGTTGTTGCTAGCATCCCATGGCCCTGTAATTTGAAACTATGCAATTCATAAGGTGCATAACAAACACAATCTCAAGCCAAGGCTTATAATAATATAAGGTTGCTAATTAAGCAAGCCTATCTACAACTAGAGTTTTGAATATTGTTACAACTGAAGCAAAAAATGCGAAGTTCCATTTTTAGTTCTTCGAATTTTGTGTCTTATTAGCTGCCAACATATATACTTTCATGATACAGATCAAGCATTCGTGGTAGTAATATCAAGGTAATATGTTAAGGAGCTTTATATACAGGACAAATGGTTACATTACCATTCCTAAAATATCATAGTTCGGTTCATTGTAATCACCTTGGAAATGTTTATTAGCGAAAACACATTGTAAAATGCATAGAACCAACTGATGGTAGCGGCTAAGTTCCTGTAGGCCATTAGGCCCAATCAGTGAAAAAAAAAAAAAACGCTTTACAAAAGAGAAGAGAACAATTCTGGAAGAACAAAGAAAGATCTACGCAGCAATGTACACATGTATCTTGTAAAGTTGTTTTATGCACACAAAAAGAATCAGAATTAAAGGAGAAAATCGATGACATGAGGCTGAGCTGGTAGCCTAGTTGGTTGTACTAGTGTCACCGTTCACCATTGTGTTATAACAAGAAAGAAACGAGATTCGATTAAAGGAGTAATTCAGCATGTGCGAAAGCTATATTTAAGTATTTTTTTGTAGTTATCTCAGTACTACACTTGACCATCAAATTAACCAGAGACCTTTTACTTAAGCATCAAATCAACAAAAACTATAAACTAATAAGTCATCCAGAGTATATACACTTGTGACTAGCCAAAAACTGAAAGGAAAAGTGGCACCCGTTCCAATGTAATACATAATTTCTCAACAATTCTACCTTAAGGTGAATTCATTTGGTTAATTAAGAGGATAATGAGCCTATATTAATCTCAAATTAAACAATGTACATTGTTCTTATATAACTCTAGTAGCAACACATAATCATCAAAGACGGCTTGAAATCCAAATAGACAAATATAAAGTAAAGATCACCACGTGTAGAACAATCTCTTTAAGCGCATGCAATAATATTTTCAACAAAAAAATAAAATAAAAAATCCCTGCAACACACTAAAACAATAAAAAACGAAATCAAAAACAAAACGAGCACCAAGATAATATTATCTTTGGCCACCACATTGTTTAGTCTTAAATGAAGTTGAATCTTCACATAGATGAACAAAGCAGCAAGATCAGAAGATACAAGGGGAAAAGAAAAAAACCCTAGTTTCTAGGGTTCTATGTTTCTCGAGAACATGTAGCAAAGAGAGAGGAACCAATAGTGTTACCTATCGCCGGAGGAGGAGCTATAGAGTTTTCCAGTGGAGGAAACTATGAGAAGAGCGACGGAGGATTCGCAGAGGACTGAGAGCTGACGAGCTTTCTCCATAAGACCATTGCGTCGTTTACAAAAAGTGACTTGTCGACTGCTTTTGTTCTCAATTCGTTTGATCTCCACTTTTCTTCTTCCCATGGCTTATCTTTCCGACCAGTCTCTCTTCTACCTAATTTGATTCTAGTGTCTTCCTGTGTAACTGGCCGGGGACACTGAACATTTTTTCTTTTCTTTTTTTATTTTAACTTATTTTTATTCCGTTTTTATGTTGTTTGGATATTTTTTTTTGGTAACGAGAGAGCAGGAATAAAAAAAAAGTAAACGATGCGGTTTAGGAGAGTTCAGACACGTATTAACCATGCGACTTGTCGAGTTACTAAACCTTTGGGGTGGCACGGATATATTAATATCAATTTTCGATTGATTTTTGTATTTTAATGATATTTAAATTTTTAATTTGTTTTGATTCGAAAAAATACAGATATCTAATTTTTTTTAGATATTTACGGATATCTCTTTTTTTGGATATTTACGGATATCTCATGTATTTTATTACTATGAAAGTTAAAAATTTATATAATTTTTTTAAGAGTATGTTTTATAGAAATATAAAAAAAATAGTGAAAACTATATGGCATATAAATTTAAGAAATTAATCAAATTTTAAAATAAAACTTTTAGACAATATATTATTATAAATATTTGTTATTCCTTTAACAATATCTTCATAAGTAATTTTATAAATAAAATTAATAAAATGATATGTTCAAATAACAATTATATTAAAATATAAGTTTAAAATCTATATTTAATTATATATATATAAAAGTTGGAATGAATCAGATATTTGATTCTAATTTTTTTAGTATTGTGATTTACTTTATTTTTAACAGATATTAAATTTTAATATTTATTTTAATTCGATGATTTATGTATATTCGATGATTTATAGACATCTGATGAATAACGAATTAAATCAAATTTGACCGATAAAATACTCAGTCCTATCAATTAAAATGATATTGTTATCTCTTCGTTATTGACTATTCATTTGTTTGTCAACAAAATCTTCTTCAATATATAACAAAAAAAAACGAAACTCAAAAATCTGTCTTTTTGGCCCTTGATAATAAACGTTTCTTAAAACTTATAAATACTTAACGCGAAATAGATATTATAATAAGTAAATCCGAAAACAAGTGAAGATTTTAGATTCATACTTGCATTCGTATATCTCTAACAGTTAGATGTGATGATTAATTAAACTTTGTGTTAATAACTTAGCTCAAGCTTTGCGCAATTTCGGACTCGCCAAAACGATCATCCGTCTCTTGGTCCGGGCAGTGACACGGAGAGATGAGCTGTAAGCCCATTTTTGTTGGGCAAAAGCATGACGGTATGACCTGTTGTAATAAGCAAAATAGGCCCGTCGTAAAGTCATTGTATTTCTCTAAGAATACATTACAGAGGTGAAATTAACTAATTTGGATTTCTCTAAGAATTTACTAGTTAGAGTAAGTTCACACTTATTTAAACTTGCATTAGATCCCATGCACCAAATAAATGCAAGCCACCAAAAGAAACCATGTCATTGGTGTCAACACATACTTAGATTATGATACACATAGATTCATAACCGGTCCAGAGCATAGATTAGTTACTTATTGGCACATGACCCTCAAAATTTTCAGAAAAAAGTATTTATATATAAGCTTCTAAATTTATATTAAAAATTTATATAAATTTTTACTAAATTGTATGTAATTAACCCACTCCAAAAACCGTCCATGTACAGACCCATGCATATAAACATAATGCACACTGAGGGGTTACAGGTGGCTTTATCTTGCAAAGTCGGGTGCCGACACAACCGAGGATGCACTACTTGTCTTTATTGACACAAAACATTTGGCAGCACGAGTGGTCGCATTTACGTTAATAAACATCACATGATTCATATCCCGTATACCATGCATGACCAACAACATAAGCTCTCCTCTTATAAGAAAAAAATTCTTTTGTGAATGTATTCTATTAATTGAAATGAAGATGAAACTGAAGAACCAAGCAATCCAGGGCCATATCAATGGAGAATCGTACTACAAGAGAGTGTGTGTGCAGCGACTCTATTTGTGAGTTATTTAGCTAGATATTATATATTGAATTAATATCTCATTTTACTGTATCGGTTAACTGGTATGATCAACATGGTACGGTTTGTTTTTTCACGGTTTGTTTTCTCTCTCGTTTTTCATTCTTTTTGGGGGTTAATTAGTGTCAAGATTTTGACCCAAAAAGAAATTAATGTCAAGATTAATAAACTGCGGTACGGTTTGGTTTAGCTCAGGCTGATGATATTACGATATAGTTTGATTTTCTGTTCGTTTTTAGTTTCCCTTTTCTTACAAGTTACAACGGTTTAGTTTTTAGTTAAAAAAAAGTTATAAAAACAACCGGACTCCGTAGTCCGGTGGTAAAGGAACCTCGGTTGAGGTGTTCGTCATCCGACTTCGAACCCCAGCCTAATTTACCTGTGGAGTTGATGTGGCGCTCCAGACCACTTAACGTAACTAGGGACTCTTAAATGGACGCTTAAAAATTCTGTCATGGCATGGACTTAGGCCTGGTGGGCTAGTCGATCACCGCTTAGTGATCGGATACTGGGTTATAAAATAAAAAATAAAAAAAGTTATAATGCATTATGCCTTAGAAATTAATGGGCCGAGATACCTAATAGATGGGCCTAATATGAGCTCAAAATGACAAATAAGACAAGTCTCTACCCGTTTTTCGCATAAAACCATTTTTCCTCGAAATTTGGAGTTTTATAGAGTCCCTAAAACATAACTTATCTGATGATATCTTCATATTTATTTTCCCATAAAAATTATTTCGAAATGAACAGGTAATTTCGTTACTAAGGATATGCTCACACTCTGCCACGAAGGTAAAGTAACAAATAGCAACTAAATAACAAAAAATAAATAAAATGAATTGGCTTTTAATTAGGGTTCTTCCTGCTGAAGAAATCAAAACTTATACTATAAACTCCAATACGTCATTCGTTTAACACAAGAACATACAAACCATATGAAACTGTGATCATGTCTCCAAAGGTAACAACAAAGATGAGGATGATCAGGTGAAGAAGAGGATGTTTAAGATACATATATGCTTTTTTACATTGATTTCGTTTTATTTAAAATCAGGATTTATAGTGCAAACGCAGGCGTTGATGATGATTGTTACTTCAGAAGCGAGAGGGTCTCTGGTGGGTTGTTGCCGGAGCAATTTTCCGATGACATTGCTCCTTCATCCTCTGTTTCCGGAAGCCTCTTCTTCTTCTCCATCTGTAAGATTTCATAAACTTAAACCTTTTCTACATAATACATATACTAAATAGTAAATACTAACAAGAAATCTAGGCTTTAAAAGTACAGTTCGAAATAAATAGCATAATCATGAGTTTCACTCCAAAATGATGTAGCATAAAAGTCATCTAAGTCCTTTAACTTTCATAGTAAGAAACTTTCTTTTTCTAAATATACTAAACACTAACAAGAAATACAGACCTTAATTATATGGTTAAAATACGAGATTAAAATTCATTAGAGAGCAGTTTACCCTTTATGGGCACCCAAAATTTTTGAAAACAATGAACCAAAAAAAAAAAAAAATTATAAATCCAATGAACCAAATTGACCTCAACCAATCCCTACTAGCCACTGTAAATAAAACAAACAACATATGCTTGGGTATGCACGGGGCCAAAACTTGAAATAAAGAGGAAACAGAAAAAATGGAAAATTTTGTTTATTTTTAAGGCAGAATCCACTGGAGAAATAAGGATCTTTAATAGCATAGTTTTTTGTTGTTACAAAGTCTGACTTTCCTAAGTACTTGTACGTATACATGCGAGTGTATCTAGCTAATACCCATCTATATGTGTATAAATGATTAATAGCTTCTCGACGCATATGTACCTTTGTTAGCTGGCGAGCCAAAATCTGGTTCTCTTGTATCAACCGCTGCTCCTGTTTCACCGAGACCACAACATTATATGCCTTTAACAAGCTCCCAAAACGTCCTCATCACAACTTGGTGATTTAGCAAGGAGGAGACTCCATTTTTTTTATCAAGATTAACTAAGCATTTTATAATTATTGAGATTCAAGGATCAGCATAACCTTTTCTTCAAGATTTTTCACAAACTCCATCATTAGTTCTGTCTACAACAAGAAATTTGGGATTGTGTCAAATAGGAAACATGATCCAAAGTTGGGCGAGGTCCAAATATTTTGTGGAATAATCATCTGAATCATTTGGTAGTAGCATATATACCTTTTTAGCTCTAGTTACAGACAGAGCAGCCTTGAACTGCTCTTCTAAGGAATTTAGAGACTCTACACTTGCATCATCGACTTTAGCTTCTTCACACTTGCTGCATATACATTAATCAACAAGAGAAAATAAATACTATTTTGATCAGAGGAAGATAGGAAAAGGAGTCTTTAGTGCTAACCACTGGACTATTTCTAGTAACTCCTTGTGTGAAAGATAATTCCGAAATTTCTCTGCTAGATCCTGCCACGAGAAAAATAACGATGGGAACGGTTAGAAAACATTTGTATTACTGAGAGAAATAAAACGATACACTCGATTTAAGTGTGGTATACAACAATTTTTTTATGACGACGTCATAGACCTAATATATGACAAACATCTCAATTATATATGATTACTTTAATATGGAGCAATGAGTGCATAAATGGGTAAAAATATGATTCTAACCCTCTGGTGGTTGAGCTTGAATTAATATAATTGTGTTTCAAAAAAAAAAAAAAAACCCTTCTACTGCATCTGTCTACAAGCTAAATTCTAAATGATCATCTCTACATGTGCATATATATAATGTGCATGTGTACCTAAGATGAACTTACCAAGTTTTTATGTTCATTAGAATGTTGAATCTCGTAACGCTCGATGATTTTGGCCATGCTGGAGAGATATCAAGAGAAATACAAAAGGCTTTAGAGCAATATTATATGCCAAACCTTACTTGTAAGTTCAGTAACAAAACTTACTCACGCCTTCTATATAAAAATATGTGTGTTATCGTTTAAATGATAACACATGCAAGCTCAGTTATCTAATATTGTATTTATATGATTATATATTCATATTTAGTGATGTAATACTTGATAAACTTTTCAGTAAATAATCTTGTCTTACATTTCAATGTCAGGGCATATATATGGGTAAATTTACTACTTAAACGTAATTTATACATGCTCTAGTTTCTAACTTTGCAATTATCAACTCTAATATATAACCACCAAGCTTAAGCCAACAAGTCCATCTCTAAGTTTTTGATATATATAATCAACTTTTCAGCTGCTGAATTTGTTCAGACATAGAAGGGTTATGGTCATATATATATGCGCAAGATGAACAATATCGTCCTATGAGTTTGATTAACTACCTCACTACTCTTTTTTGTTATTTTGAGAACTAACAGCACTAGAGAAACGAATAAGTTGTTAGCTACATTGCAAAAGTTTAGCACTACAATGAATTTACAAATTAATAAGCTTGAGCCCGGATGAAGCCCAAACGATTCACCACGAAAAGCTAGTTTACATATTTGATGTGAGATTTTTATAGATATACCAAAAACTCAATCCCACTTTATATTGTCAGAGATCCATTCCAAGTTCTCCAATATAGAGTGCAATTGATTAAATCCTAAGTTGTGACTTGAAACTATGCAATAATTAGCAAGGCACATAAGAATCACAATCTCAAGTCACACACTTCTCATAGCACAACTAAAATAAGGTATCATCAAAGTAGCTACAACTACCGTATGACAAATAAGGAATTGAAGCAAAAAAAAAGTACCATTAGTTCTGTAACTCGTGCATGTTACCAATTATTACAAATATACTCTCAGGATCAAGCATTTGTGGTATCAAAACAATGTTAACAGGCTATATGTGTATATATACCTAGTGAGGAAGGTTACATTCCCATTTCTTCAAGGTCTACGGCTCATTGTTGGCGCTCAGTGACCTTGGCCCATGAGATCCAATAACTATTTTAAAAATCATCACTAAAGAGAGAGCAACATTTTTAGAAGAGCAAAAGAGAGCTACGTACTGGTAAGGTACAAGTGGTACACATGCATTTTTAAAATTATTATATGCACACAAAAACTACAAATGAAAGAGGAATAAAACTGATAGCAGAGGTTTATATCTTAGTGAATTGAGACTCATATCCAAATGCAGGAGAGTGTTTGTATGAGTTATATTGATGACCCAAAAACACGTGTGAAAACTATCAGCTAAGAGTCTTTTTAAAGTTATCATAGCACTATATTTGACCATCAAGATAAATTAGTAAAGCATCCACCAATCTAAAGGTTTTTGATCAATAGCATTACCCCCCTCCCCTTCCCCCTAAACAAATTCCTCAACACATCTACCAGTGGTGTGCATTGAATTGGATAAAGAGGATAATAAGCTTAAATTAATCTCAAATTAAACAACCTACATTGTTCTTATGCAACACAAAATTAAGATGACTTGAAATCCCAATAGACGAGCATCAAGTGTACATTACCACGTGTAGAAGAAACTCTACAAAGCGCATGCATTAATATTTTCACAACAAAATAAGAAACCAAAGATCCAATTGCAGAAAATTAATACAATAAAAATGAAAACCAAAAAAGCCAATCAAGACTTAAACATATTTGGCCACCACATTGTTTAATCTTAAATTTGGTTAGATCTACACAATAATTATGAACATAGATCAAACAAGACGATCAACAGTAAAGATTCAAAAGGGGTAAAAAAGAAAACCCTAGTTTTTAAGTTTCTATTATTTCTCAAGAGGATCTACCAAAAGAAAAAAAAGGAGATAATAGTGTTACCTATCGCCAGAGGAGGAGCTATAGAGTTTTCCTGTGGAGGAAACCATTAGAATGGCCACTGAAGATTCACAAAGAACTGAGAGCTGACGAGCTTTCTCTATGAGACCATTACGGCGTTTACAGAAAGTGACTTGTTGACTGCTTTTGCTCTCAATTCGTTTGATCTCCACTTTTCTTCTTCCCATGACTTCTTTCTCCGACTAGTCTTACGCCCTAATCTGATCCAAATGTTGGTCGGAGACACACTGAAACGTTTTCTATCTTTTTTTTTATTTTTCTGTTTTTATTTTATTTTGAGCAAATATTATTTAGAAGCAATATTTTGTTTTATTTTGTTAAACGAGAGGCGACAAAAACAAAAACAAATATAAAGACCCACAAAAAGTTGGAAAACGACGCGTTTAGACACGTATGTAACGCATGACGAATTCCCTGGGGGCGCGTTTCGACTCTTTGTGTGTCATTCAACTTAAATCTTAGTTAATAAGTTATTATCTCCTCGTTGATAATAATAAAATACAATATGCTCTTGTTTATCAGACCACATGTTTCTTTGAAGTTTCTGTAAACGCGAATTACGATAGAAGAAAAAACAAAATTGAGGAATTAGATTTTGCTCTTTTTGGTAATTTGTACTTGTATCTCAGCATATCCAATAATAGATGTAACGACAAGTGTACTTTGGAGATTTTATAAGTACCTTATAGTTGACTCGGCCGTAAAGCAGTTTCGGAGGACTCAAAGCGATGTGAGCTAACGGAATTATCATTACCAGGTTCCCGGTTTTGGTTCGGTTTGCCACGTTCAAATGTTGCCGTTAAACAAGTTCTCCCCAAACGTATTCTGGCATAAGAAAAATATTAGGCCCAGTTTAAGTTTACCAAACCAGTTAAATAATAAACAAGATGTCCATCGGTTTTTTTTTTTTTTTCTAACAAAACAAGATGTCCATCGTATCACTTAACTTTTAAATAGAGAAAATAACATCGCAGCAAATGATCATATAAGTTGTGTGTTTCATAAAATTTGTAAGAAATAATGAACGGTCAGAATTCAAGAAAAAGCTAAGATAATATTTTTAGTCAGTAAAAATTGAGTAGAATGTTAAACCACCTTTATCGCGGGTTACAAGGGAGTATATTAATCTTGGGGACCACAAAAACATAAAAAAATTCACTAAAATAAGCAAATGAGGATTGGTAATGGAAAGATTTTTGTACGGTTTGCAGGTTTTATCAACACATGATGATCCGTAATCGGTTCGATTAATTTTAATTTTGTTTTTTTAGACCAATAAATATAAAACAAAAACTAAGAAACCTAAAACGATTTTACAGTTATTCATGTCTTTACAGGTAAAATTTAAAGTATGGGCTTTCCACCCCTAAGTACAAGTTACTGGAAACTCGTTGTTGGAGGGTCCTTGGAAGGACGACATATATTCTGATAAAAATATAATTAAATCAATCATACGTCTAAGCAAAATAGGCCCATATAAAGGTCATAGTACTATATTCATAGAACATGATTACCTCTAATCTCTTATTTGAGATTTTCAATTCATGATTTAACAAAAGAAAAAAATTATATTTTTTTGGTTAAAAAATATCTCTTGTATTTTTTATTTAAATAGACAATTTTTAACTTTTTTAGTTAAAAACTAAAACACATATTTTACCTAAAATTAAGAATCTCAACTAAAAAATCAGAGTTAATAATAATATACTTATTTAACGATGAAGGCTTAATTGGCAATTATGGATGCAAGTGATTGATACATTGAAAAAGGTGGAACCAACTATTTTGGATTTCTCTAAGAACTTAATTCACATTTATTAGAACTTTATTAGATTCTACCAAATAAATCTAAGATAAGTTTTCAGTAGGTACTAGTGTTTTTTTATTTTATAATCATAGAGAATCTCAGGTGATAAATTCAAACTAATTTCTACAAAACCTTTCATCTGAACATGCACGGATATAGGTGGGAAGATGACCAAGACGACTCAAACATGGATATTTCAAGTGAAGTTCCATTACCACTAAACCAAAAACTTTTGGTTAATTATTAGTGTTTTATTAATAGCCACCTAAAGAAACTATGTCATGACTAACTGATGCCAAGTTGAAGTTGCCAACACATGCATGCATGATACATAAATATAAAAAAAATGCATACTGAGGGATTACAAGTGGCTTTATCTTGCAATATCAGGTGCCAACACAACCGAGGATGCACTATTTGTCTTCTTTGACACAAAACATTTGGCACGAGTGGTAACATTTACGATAACAAACATCACATGATGTATTTCCAATTGCCTAATAAATATCATTAATGGCATCATCGACCACATAAGTTTACATAAGAAAACATTTGTAATGTTCATTTAGTTAAAATGAAGATGAAGAAGCAAACAAAAGGGTCATGTCAATGGAGAATCGTACTACCAGATAATGTGTGCATCGGCTCACAAGTTTAAGGTTCTCAATAATATTTGCCAGTCATTTAGCTATATATCTAATCTATTAAAAAAATGAACATTAATTAATTTTTATATTAAAGTTCATTCGTGTATATTAAATTAATACTCCGCTAAATCCTTTAACAAAAAAAAAAATTAATATTCCGCTTTGTGCTGCATCGGTTAACTGGGATGGTCTTATACATAGTCTCCCTAAAATTAAATTCAAAATGAACAGATAAATTCGCTAGTAAGGATATACTTAAAACTCTGCCACGATGGTAAAGTAACAAGTAGACACTTAAAAAGAAGTAAATAACAAAAAATATAAAGAGAATTTTTGCTTTTAATTAGGGTTCTTCACGCTGAAGAAATCAAGACTTTTTATACGAAACACACAAAACATAAGAAACAGGAAATAAACCGTCATCCTGTCCTTTGGATGAGTTTTTCCTTCAACTTTTCTGTGAAGAAAAGAATGTTTAAGGTACATCTGTATATGATACTAATATTTTTATTTTTTACATTTATTTTATTTGAATCATCAGGATATGGTGAAAAATCTGTTGTTGATGATGGTTGTTACTTTAGAAGCGAGAGTGTCGTCGGTGGGCTGTTTCTGAAGCTATTCTCTGATGACATTGCTCCTTCATCCTCTGTTTCCGGACACCCCTTCTTCTCCATCTGTAAGAAACTTTCTTTAAATCCTACTTTTTCTATATATACTAAAAACTACACAAATTAAGTTTCTGCACCGTTTACAAAATAGAAAACACTGGGGTTTCAACTCCAAAATTGTGTAGCATCGATCAATCGAAATACTAAACTTTCATTGTAAGAAACTTAATTTCTACACTAAACATTAACAAGAAATAAGGACCTTAATTTTTTAAGCCCTATTAGCCACTGTGAATAAGAGAAACAATATATTTGGTTAAAAACAGGACAGAGACTTAAAATAAAGAGGAAGCAGAAAACATAGAGCATCTTGTGTATTTTTTGAAAGAAATATATGGAGAGCTATAGACCTTTAATAGCATAGTTTTTTGTCCAAATAGAAGTATAGACATACTTATGAAATGATTATCTAATGTCCATTTATATGTGTATAAAATGATTAATAGCTTCTCAAAGCATTTATAAGAGATATAATACCTTTGCTAGCTGGCTAGCCAAAATCTGGTTCTCTTCCCTCAGCAGCTTCTCCTGTTTGAACATGATCACAAGTTTATTTGCCTTAAACAAGCTCCAAAACATACTCACCATAACTTGATGATCTCCATTTTTTAAATCAAGGTGTTAACGCGCCGTTTCATTAGAGTTTCATTTCAACGAAGCCAAGAATATATCATAAGACAAGATCAAAAGACCTGGAGACTAACCTTTTCTTGAAGGTTTTTCACAAGCTCCATCATTAGTTCCATCTGCACAAGAATTTGAGGATTGTGTAAAGCTGAAGACATGATCCAAAATTCCAAAGATGGGCAAGGTCTGAAGATTTTATGGAAAATTTATCTTAATCACTTAGTAGCAGCATATATATACCTTCCGAACTCTAGTTGTAGACAGAGCAGCCTTGAACTGCTCTTCCAGGGAATTTAGAGACTCTAAACTTGTATTGTTGGTATTCGCCTCTTCAAGCTTGCTACATTTATATCAAACAACAACAGAAAATAAAAACTTCTTTGATCAGAGGAAAAGGTAGTCTATGGTGGTGCTAACCACTTGACTATTTCTAGTAACTCCTTGTGGGAAAGATAATTCCGAGACTTCTCTGCAAGATCCTGTCACAAAATAAAACGACGGGAATGATGCCCTTGAGAGTTAAGTGTGTATACAACAAGTTTGGGACGTTGTCATAGAGTTTACAATATACGACAACCATCTTAGTGGACTATTCTAGCTAAATCTTCTGAAAACTACATATTGCTTAAGACGACTTAAAGGGAGATGAGTGAATTAATGCACTAAACTTAACAACAATCTCCAATGGAAATATGTCTATATAGACTATATTCTAAATAATAATATGAGTCTATATTCTAAATGATCATCGCAAATTACATATGCACATGTAATTAAGATGATGAACTTACCAAGTTTTTAAGTTCATCAGCGTGTTGTATCTCATAGCGCTTGAGGATCTTGGCTATGCTGAAGGAAAATCATAGAAATCATGAGAAAAACAAAAAGGCTTTAGAAACAATTCATGCCCAAACCATATTATTATATATATTTGTGTTAGTAACTCTGTATTGTAAGTCTGGTAACTAACCTTACTCACGCCTCTATATAAAAATCTAGAAGTGATATTGCTTATATAGTAACACAGGTAAGCTTTGTTATCTAATATTTTTTTTTGAGTAGACTTTATTGATCCAATAAACTCAATCCTACTTTGTAAGAGACCTATTACAATATTCAATTTTCAGAATGAAATTAATCTAATCCTAAGTTGTGATTTGATCAAACTATGCAATAATTAGAATGACACTCAAGTCAGAACACTTTTCATAGTACAACTTAATTAAGGTATCATCAAACTAGCTACAACAAACGTTTTGAAAATTGTAAAGAATTGAAAAGAAAAAAAAAAGAAAAAGACAGTACCGTTAGTTCTATAATTCATGCGTGGTCGTTAGCTAGTCTTGTAAAAATACTCTTAGAATCATGCATTTGTGGTGTGAACATCAAGACAATGCTAAATAGCTATATAGTTAGAAAGGGTCTGATTCCCATTTCTTCAGGGTCTTAATCCTAACCTATATAGTAAAGGTTACAAAGGGAACCACATGATAACATGAATTGATGTTGTTAGCGCTCATGACTTGGGCCATGAGACCCAATAATTATTTTTTAAAAAGCATTTTGAAAGAGGAAGTAGGGAAACAATTCTAGAAGAGAACATGAGCTACGTACTGAGGTACACATGCATCTTTTAAGTTCGTATATGAACACAAACATAACAAAGAAAGAGGTATAAAACCGATGATAGAGGTTCGCAGCCTAATGATTTGTAGCAGCATGTCATAACTCACATCCAAATGCAAGAGTGTTTGTTAAAATTATCCAAGCACTTCATTTGACCATCAAGATCAACTAAAAATCTTTTACTAAAGCAAACATTTTAGAAGAGATGTTCCTAAATCATCTACAACCCCAAAGATTAGCATTATCTCAAAACAAATTATCAATAAATATACCGATTTAAGTGGATACAAATTAAAAAGGATAGTATCTCAAATTAAACAATGTACATTGTTCTTAATTATGCAACACAAAATTAAGATGACTTGAAATTCCAATAGACGAACATGATGTGTGTGGATTACCACGTGTAGAAAAAACTCTTTTAGTGCATGCAATAATTTTCTCATAACAAAATAAGTAAACAAAAATCCTTGCAACGAACTTAAACAATAAAAAATTCAAACAAAACGAACACCAAAAACATATATGGCGACCACATTGTTTAATCTTATATTTGGTTGGATCTACAACAATTATGAACATATATATAAATCAAACAAGAATATTAGTTGTAAAGATTCAAAGGGGGGGGAAAAGGAAAAACCCTAGTTCGTCTAAGTTTCTATTTTCTCGAGAGGCTCTACAAAAAAAAAAGAGGAGATAGTAGAGTTACCCATCACCGGAGGAGAAGCTATAGAGTTTTCCGGTGGAGGAAACTATGAGAATAGCGACTGAGGATTCACAAAGAATTGAGAGTTGACGAGCCTTCTCCATGAGACCATTTCGACGTTTACAGAAAGTGACTTGTCTACTGCTTTTACTCTCAATTCGTTTGATCTCCACTTTTCTTCTTCCCATGGCTGCTTTCTCCGACTACTCTTTAGACCTAATCTGATCCAAATGCTCGTATAGCTTGGTCGGAGACACTGTACTTATTTATTTTTCTGTCTTTATCTTTTCTCTTTTTTAGTTTAGCTAAATTCAGCATTATGTTGTTTTTTTTTTTTCCAAGCATTATGTTGTTTTTATTTTGTTAAAAAGAGAGAGGGACATATACCAAAAGAATAAAAAATGAAAGAGAGACCAAAAAAAAAAAGAGAGAGAACTCAAAAAAAAAGAGTGCGAAAACGATGCGTTTAACACGTATTAAACGCATGACGAATTCCCTGAGGGCGCGTTTTAATTATTTGAGCCATTCAATTTAAATCTTAGTTATTATCTCTTGTTAAAAATATAATACAAAATCATCAATATGTTGAATTTATTATCAGACCACACGTTTCTTTAAATATTACAATATCCAGCAAACGCGATCTACTATTGAGAAGAAAAAGAACATACAATATTAAGCCAATGGATTTGGACTTTTCCTTTTCTGGTAATTTGTACTATGTCAGTATATCCAACAATTGATGTAACGACAAGGGACTTTGTAGATGTTAGAGCACCCCATGAAGGTTCAATGGAGGGGGGGGGGGTTTACACAAAAACCAATAAAAAAAAAAAATTAAATAATATTATTTTTCTGAACCGGGGTCGTGGGGTGTTGTCTGCAAGAGGCGAGTTCGTCACTGTTCTGTGGGCTCCACGCCACGTGGCGGCCTGCAATAGGTCCAATTTTAATTTTTTTTTTTTTTTTTTTTTTTTAGAAAAAATAACGAAAAAAGTTTAAAAAAAAAAAGAAAAGGGCACGTGGCGAACCTGCCCTTGAGTTCGCTGGTGCTGCTGCTCTTAGTAAGTACATTAGTTGAATCGGCCGTAACGCAGTTTCGGACTCATCAGAAACGATGTGAACTAATAGAATTATGGTTACTACTAGGTTCCTCTCTTTGGTTCGCGTTGCTATTAATACAGCTCGGCCCAAATATTCTGGCATAGGGAAAACTTTAGGTTCATTTAAAGTTTTGTCAGATCACATAAACAATAAACAAGGAAATGTTACAGCTAACATGGGTCACTTAAAATGGGCTTTCCAGGGCCGAATATCAACTTACCAAAGGACAAAAGTTTTATTCTGTGGAACAAATTATTTTTGTGTATCACCAAATTGATTTTGAAAAAAGAATGACATGAAATACTAATAAGATGATATGATTTCAAATTAGTTATGACATAAACATTTATATTTAATGTAATTTATATTTTTGGTAAACTTTTGTAATATAATAATAATATAAATCATTATTAATATAACAATAAATAATATAATAATAGAAAGATACAAGTAGTAATAATTTATATTTTGAAATAATATTTAATTATATATTTTTATAATTTTATAATTTTATTATTAAAAAAAATTTTCATAGTTTTATGCAGTTTAAAAAAAAATATTCTAATCCCACTATCTTTAATTTACATAATGTCGAAGAAATTTCTTTTAATATGTACAAATTTTAAAATATTATTTACTCTTACATTTTGATAATTATTTATCTAACAAGATTTACTTTTGCTTTTAAATAATTTGATTTAATATATTTTAACCAAAAAATACACATAAAAATCTTCTTAAAAGTATAATTTTAAATATACACATACATATTATTAGATATAAATTTAAATAAATATTTCTTTTATCTTACTTTTGCATATAATTAAATTAAAAATTAACACTAAATTGTGAACAAGTAATGTAATCAACAAATTAACAGATAGTTAAATATAATTTAAAATTTAAGACTTTATTTTCTGTATATTGTGCAGGAAAACATCTACTACCAAATTAAAAATACACTAATATAACACCAGTCTGAAAAAAAAAATGAAGAGTAACAACTAAAATTCGTTTTCACTTTGCCACGTAACTCAAGACAAGTAATCAAACAACTAGCAGTTAAATAAGTGAAAACAAAAAGATTAAGTAAGCTCGAGTACTCTAGGGTTCTTCACGCTGAAGAAAAGCAAAGACCGTAAATCCAAACCGGTACTGTAAGACGAAAACACAACCTCTGATCTTGTCCGAAGGTACAACAAAGTTCCATATTTATCTTAGTTTTAGAATTCTTTTTCAGCAAGAGGGAATATAGCTCCGTTTTTCCCGTAAAGTTGAACAAGATTAAAAGGATTTTTGTGACTAATTATGCAGCAGCTTTTTATAATTTACACATCTGCTTTTTTAACATTAAATTAGGCTTTGAGTTTACTCTAGCCGTTGGAACATGGTAGTTACTTGAGCAGCGGGAGAGTTTCCGGTGGATTGTTACCGGAGCTATTTGCCGAAGAACTGTTCTCTCTCCCTCCGTTTGTCTTCCCAATCTGTAAGAAACTTTCTTACACTTGTTTTTACATGTACCAACAAGAAGTTAATAAAGTTTTTAAAAACTATTTTGCAGTAATTTTTAAAAGATAAATGATGGCTTTAACCGAAAATTGTGCAACTTTTACATCCGTGAGAAACTTTCTAATATTCCTTATTCTCTATTAACAAGATATTAAAAAAAAAGTTTAAGAAGCATATCTTCTTTCTCAACTTTAGTATTATGTCTATGTTTTACGTACGTGGATAATTAATTTTTACCTGTTTAATGTCCATCTATATATGTGTGTAAAGTTACTAATCAGTATCTAAAAGCATAACAAATGTTACCTGGCTAGCCAAAACCACATTCTCTTCTCGCAGCAAGTCCTCCTATTTCAACATAAACAACAAGTCCATTAGTACTCTCTAACATGATTTCAAGCCATCCCATACAGATCTCTTCTCGAAATAGAAAAATGCATCATAGATTGGGTGATAAATTAGGGTTAAATCACATTTGATCAAGATCTCAACAAAGCTTATTATTCTCATTAGAAAATATCACTATAAAGGAGCCAGAAAATATTCAGGGACTATTATGACAAGACCAAAAGATAGATCCAAAAGTCTAGAGAGCTAAATTTCCGGTCGAGTGATTCTGCATACTCTGAGGTTAAATCGTGAATAGAAACCAAATCACAAACCTTTTCTTGAAGCATCTTCACAAACTCCATCGTTAGTTCTGTCTGCAACATGACATTAAAAAACTATGTCATAGTGGAAACATATAATCTGAAGTCAAGCAAGGACAGAAGATTTTATGTAATAATCGATTTATTCACTTAGTAGCAGCATAATATATATACCTTCCTAGCTCTAGTCACAGACAGAGCAGTCTCGAGCTGTTCCTCCAGAGAAACTAGAGAATCTACACTTACATTATCGACATTTGGTTCTTCAAGATTGCTGCAATCATAAGTAGACAAAGAAACAAAACATTTTTTTGATCAGATGAAGAGGGGAAAAGGCGTCTTAGTGCTAACCTTTTGACTGATTCGAGTAACTCCTTGTGTGGAAGATAATTCCGTGTTTTTTCCGCAAGATCCTACACATGAAAAGAAAATGATGGGAAAGTTTTGAAATATTTTAAACCCTAGAAACTTCAGACGCTATGACAAGTTCAAAGATTTGAGTTTATCTCAGAAGCAACCAGCCCCTTCTATCCCTGCATGACATCAACAACCACGTCTAGATAACTGACTTAAATGATGTTCTTGGCTAACTTACCAAGGTTCTAAGTTCATCAGCATGTCGTATTTCATAACGATCGATGATGTCGGTCATGCTGGAGATATCAAGAACAAAACAAAATTCCGTATCAGAGCCAATTCGAGAAAAAAAACATTTCAATATTACGAATTCAAAGGGAGAAGGATGCTATTATAAATATTACTTCAGTAGAATAAAATTATTACTTAGCTAGGCTTCTCTAAATATAAATATGTAGTGTACTAGTCTATATAGAAAAAACTCAAATAAGTTTGTTTACTATCACTATACTTTTTTGCATTGTCTTATATTAACTTTTCCATTACAGCACATTCTCTTTTGTTCCCATGGGTGAAATCATTACAGGAAGATAAAAGGATTTAACAAAAGTAAAAACGTAGTATATAGCTTTAAATTACTGTAGAAAACAGGTTTGTAACTAGTTACTATAGTTTTGCAATATCCATGTTAGTTTCCCTCTCATTTTAGCATATTCTTTTTCATTTCCATGTGCATGCTTATACACGAGTACTTTGGTTTTACTTACAAAGTAAATCTGACACGCTAGCTACTTATATGGAACTTCACAAATTCACCTCAGGCACCCTACTATATTTAAACTTGGCAGCCGCCGAAAGTCATTGCGTAAGAGGTTCTATAAATAACTCACATTTTTTAATTCATTCTCATAAGTCAAATAACACACTTCCCTTTTTCTAACCATGGCTAAATCAATGTGATAAAGAAGATCTAATGTTTGTTCTTTCAACAACTAACAGCAGACTATATAAGTGTTAAATGGATAAAGTATAAAAACGTCATTCCCCCTAAGGAAAAAATCTCAGTGTAATTCATGTATACAAGGAAAATCTCTAAACGTTGGTGAAGTCGCTACAAATTTTGACTATTTATACATGAAAATTATAAATACCGATGGCTTCATATAGTTCTCCAAGTCACACCTAGCTGGTATATATTCAACTGAACTGGATACTAAAAAAAAACATTTGCCTAAAAGTTTTGAGGAAAAGCACTCCATAAAGGATGAGCCAAGAAAGCAGGTATAGCAATTTAGGTAAGGTCATGGCTGGCATCCTAATTTGTGATGTCCATGTGTGAAAGAATTCAAATACAGTTTGTCTTTGATTCACTTTATCTTCACTGACATATGAAGATGTGAACTAGTAATTTAATTAACTATAATCACAAAAAAAAGAATCATAATCTCAAGTCATGACACTTTGTAAAGTGCCTAGACGTTGTATATATAAGAGAAACTACCCAAGAACCTAGCTATTGCTAGAGTTTGATTATTGTAGAATGGAAATAGATAAGGTTCCCAATAACTTCTTTCATGATCAAGCTCTAGTGGAACTAAATATCAATGCAAAGCAAAGGAACATATGCATAGTTATGAAGGTTACATTTCAAATTTCTACAATACATTTGTTCCATCCATTTTCAAGATTCTCTAAGCTTTAGATACGAAATGCACTGCCAATATTCATATGATAGCGTATTTTAGTTTTGGCTCATTGTAGTTTGTTCTATATATGTAGGAAAAAGGCTAAAAGGTTGTATATCGGTTAATATCGCACTAGTTGAAAATGGTTGTAGCCTAATGGTTTCATTCTTGTCGGAAAACAACCAAATTGCTTTCCACTAAGTAAATCCACTAGGCCACTGCCACTGCCACAAATGTAGGACTTAGTTTTAAGTTTGATTATTCTTTAGCAAAGAAACCCAAAAGGAAAAGGAACATCTCTTGAAGAGCAACAAAAGGTCCTATTAATCTAGACATTGTTTGGTGTCATATGCACACACCGATTAAGATTAAAGGGCGACAGATATCCAATTAGATAAGAAATGTAGCATGTATGACTAGTATCAATGTGAAATTTTTCAATGTTCTACAACCAAATAAACATTCTGAGGATAAAACGTCAACAAATCAATCAGAGAGAAATTACAAAACAAGTAGCCAACTATAAAATATCAGATGAATAGTTTCACAAATGGCATCCAACTTAAACCAAAAATTCTTTTTTTTTTTTGTAAACTTAAACCAAAAATTCTTATCAACATTAACCCCAATTTCTCTTTCAGCATTTCGAATGGAAGTGCATTGCAATTTTGGATATAAACCAAATCTCAAAATTTAAAAATATACATTGTCTCCTATATATTAATAATTAAACTTCAAAGAAAACAAACAGATGAATCACCGATACAAATATTTGCTTAAACATCATTGAGCACGTATCACCACGTGTAGAAAAATTTCTTGAATTCACATGCAATATTAAAATCTAAAAAAATAAATAAGTAAAGGTACAATAAAAATAAAAAATTCGTATTAAAAATGAAAAAAAAAATACGAACACCAAGAACATATCCAGGCCACCACAATGTTTAATCTTAAATTAGGTTGTTGCTCACGCATAGGCAGTCGTCATCAATAAAACAAAGAGAAAATCTCAGTTAATTCGAAAGAAACGAAAAGCCCTAGATTTGGAGTTTCTATATCTAGAAAGTGATTAAACAAAGAGGGAAATATAAAAAGACAACTCGAGAGAGACCCGGAAGAGCTTACTTGTCACCGGAAGAGGAGTTGTAGAGTTTTCCAGAGGCGGAGACGACGAGAACAGCCACGGATGATTCACAGAGAACTGAAAGCTGTCGAGCTTTCTCGATGAGACCAGTGCGTCGTTTAGAGAAAGTGACTTGTCTACTGCTTTTGTTCTCGATTAGTTTGATCTCTACTTTTCTTCTCCCCATGGCTGCTTCTTCCGACAAGGCTTGATGCCCTAATTTGAGTCTGATGTCCGAAGAGACTCTCAATGTTTTTGCTCCTTTTGATTCGTTTATTTCTATCTTTTTTTCCTTTTTTTGGTTTTTTGTTCTTTGGACAATAACAAATCCAAGTCAGTTTGTTTTCTTTTGTTAAACGATAGAGAAAATAAAATAAAAGCAATTAATTGAAACGAAGCGTTTTGAGGAAGTGGAATAAATACATACACTTGTTGACTGTCATTCCAACCGGTTTGACGGGTCCGATTAGTATTTAATTTTTAGATGGTTTAACGTTCCTAAGACCATCTTCAATAGTTTATATTATTTTTTATTCTAAAATAGGGTTATTATAGAATTGAAGTTTACTCTAGTAGTACTCTATTCGAGAAAAATAGAGTGATAAACAAAAAAAACAAGTTATTCTATATTTGGAGTAAACCTATTTTCACTCTAATATAGAATAGGTCATAGGATATAGAGTTTATTGGAACATTTTGACCATAAAATTTTATTTTAGATTGAAAAATAGAATGGGATTGGAAATGTTATAAGAACTTGAAAAGTTGTTGATACGTGTAACCAATCTCAATCCACCACTATTTTTATCCCCTATATTTTCTTCTAAAATAAACAAATATATATTATAAAGATGATTCTGCATAAAGATATGCATTCATAATAATATTCTTCTATTTTTAAGAGAAAATGTAAAAGTAATATTTTTATCTTTAAATATAAAGATAAAATGTAACATTCCTCTCTAAAAAGCTTCTTAAAATACAAAAAAAAATTGTTTATATATATATATTAGAGTAAATTCATTTCTATAAATATAAATTTCTATTTCAGAAAAAGAAACAAGAGATATACAATGGAAATATTCGAACAAAAATCAATGATATTAAAATTAAAATTAAGGTGATCTAACTCGGACCAAATAATAGTGTGATCCGAAATGAGAAACTAAGGCCCACATCAGTAAAGCCCATGTTAATTATCAAAACGGTGTTGACCACTTCATTTCGTCGAGTCAACGGCTCTGCTCAATTCCGTATCTCATTTAGTAAAAAAAATGTTGAACAAAAAAATGGTGAATTAATCATGATGTCAGCTTTATTTATGCACAACATGATTAATGTAAATTATGCATACTTCAATGTTTTCATTACTTAAACTTGCACAAACACCAGAAAAATTTGTATACGTACTTACGTTAGTTCTCCAGCCCATGGCTCATATGATCTCTATTTATAATCAAAATATAGAGAGGAACTCTTATTTTAATAAAACCAAATGCATACATTAGGCATTCCGTTCATCTCTATCTAGGGTTTGATGATTATTATTTGCAGTTTTGATTTATTTATCCAGAAAAAAAAAAGATTTTCAAGTTGCTATCAAGTTCTTGTCTTAGTGAAGGATCACTTGCGTAAGCTAAATGTAATGGGAACTTTTTCCTGATTAAGCCAGACAATAGAGAGAGCGGGATACCCCCCTGTCAAATCTAGTAATAAATGTTTTACTGCTTTTGATAAAATGTTAAAAGTTACAAAGTCTAGGAAATATATACGTAAGTGGGATTCTCTTAGAATGATAAAAGTGAAAAACTAAAGTGGTACACAACCATACACTTGTCTAGATGCTTTTTCATTCAAGTTGGTAGGGAACATCAACTACCTATATTTTGAATTATGCAAAAGCTAAAATAATAAGAAAAAATGGAATCTATTGGCACAGAACCAAACACTTGTTTTGCCTTTTTCTTTTTTCTTTTTATAAGGGTCAAGAGATTCATGGAAATTATTGGCCCTTTGATGGGTTCCATTGTTGATACCTTTGTCCTTTTGTGCTCTCACAATGTAGGTTTTAACTTTACTGCCTACCTCATGTATCATTCACCAAGTCTCCGTTTATTTATTCAATACTTTAACCTATTTAAAATTATTAATTACAAAGTTGATGTAACAAAAAGTTCTTACAATTGTAGGGATGTCTGGTTTGTAATGATATAACTTTATGATTTTTAATGATATAACATTATGATTGTACTCAATAATGTACATAAGACCAACTTAATATCTTTGGTATTTAAGAAGTTTTCTTTAACTTTTTTGACCCACTACTAAAAAATTTATAATTATATGTAATACAATTCCTTGAAAACAGAAAACAAGAAAAACAATTTGTTACATGACAGTGTAAGTTGGAATGGTGGAATTTAAAGTAGTGCATATTTTTAGAGTTATTTTGTCATTTTTTCATGCTATTATGATTTGTTGTATGTTTTTCTTTTCTTTTACACTATAAGTATACAGATTTGTTTTTTTATCGGGCGAAAATATGAAAACGTTTAGTGTATATATTGATGATAACTATTTTCTTAAAGATCATAGTGTACTCAAACTCGAGTTTCTATCTACTGGTATCATTTTCTCCAACAATTCACTAAAAACAAAGAAAAGGTGTGAGACGCGACTCGAGAGAAAACTGATATTTGGGGAAATAGACACTGCAGCTAATAAGAATGAGGCTGATGTGTCGAAAAGGTTTTGGACACGGGTGACGCATTGATCCATTTATAATTCCACACTAACCTTTGTCCTGTTGCTAATGCTTATGATATCATATTATTATTTTTGGTAAATTTTCTTATTTTATAAAACTGTGGTAGTTGTTGCCATAGATCAGTCCCACTCAATACAGTTCGGTTTGTATTACACATGGTTCTGATTTAGTCTGATTTTTAGTTAACCATTACTTAAAATTTACATCTGAATATAATTTGGTTAGCAGAAGAACCACAAGTTATACATGTTTGATTTGACTAGTACGGTCCACAATAGCCGAGCTCTATTCAAACCAGACCGAGCTTAAGTTACATCTTATTATTCAAAAGTTACAAGAATCCATCACAATTTTGGTTATTTATAACATTTAGTATATGATTGAATAATTTACGGGTGTGATTGATTGTCAATCTTATTATGAATTTTAATTAATTGATTGTCTTAATTAATTCTTTTATATGATTTTTGTTCTCTGTTCGTTACTTACACGGTTACACCATATATGACTTTCTATACATACAAAAATAGTTATTGTTGGAAAAGTTAATTAAAGAAATGTTTTAAACATAAAACTATATTATCTCTAATGTTAGATTCTTCCACTTTTTTTCTTTTAAATATCTTGTGTTTTTCTTCTCTTCATTCTCCCCTTTGCTTCTTCTTCCCATCTCACTTCACACTTCTTCTTCTTTTTAGATAGAGAGATAATGGTTTTGGGAAAGCGTCATGGCTCTTTGATCAAGAGAACAACAAGCATGCTAATGATCACAGACGATATAGCCACGATCGATGACCATGCATCTCAGCCGTATGATTATCTAACCTTGCATCACCATCATCGTAATCCAACGGTGGTGATGGCTACTAATAACGATGATGACTTCTTGAGGACTTGTAGCTTGTGCAATCGCATTCTATGCCATCGTCGTGACATTTATATGTATAGGTACGGTTTTTATGCTTCTTAACCAACCCTTCAAATATCTTTTATATTTAATGCTTTGTATATCTTTATATGTTATGGTTTGATGATTATCCTAAAAGAAAATGTTATATTGTACTGTTTTTTGTAGAGGGGACAATGCATTTTGTAGCTTAGAGTGCAGGGAGAAGCAGATTATGCTGGACGAGAGAAAAGTGAAAACCGTCGTCAGATCATCAAAAAAACACATTCGTATTTAATCGATATTTGTATCATCTAAATAGTAATTATTTTTCATTGCGGGTGAAATCAATATGTTTGCGTTTTTTATATAAGAATAATATAATTAAAATATACCAGAAAATAGAAAATGAGACGAAATGATTGTGTGATCGATAATAAGCATGATAACTTATGAGATGTAGAGTAAACTGAAGTTGATTTATTCGAGTGAATTGTCTTTGTAATGTGTATATGTAATATGTAATATCAATGTATATTCAGATGGTCTATTGCTTGTTATATATAATTTAAATAAAGTTTAATAAACGTATATTAATATATTATAACAATATCAGACGGAGATGGACCGATTCTTTGATGGTATTATGATATAGAATTTGTGATAGGGATCAGTTCTTCTAAATTATGTATTGAAATGTATAGAATCTTCTGTGACGAAAACTAAAAGATATGTCTCCTTTTTAAAGTGGAAATTCCAGTTGGCCGGCTAAATTATTCAATATTTAAACATTACAAATTAATAATAATCTTATGGCTGTCTTCTTATTGTAATGGTTTATACGTATATTCCTATCAATATTTCAGTTTTAATGTCCATTTACTAGAGATACCAATCTGCTCAATGTTTTGGACGATACATGATATCGTATTTTGAGGGCATTATGTTAAACTCTTTATTTTGAACTATGCATTATGTTTATAACCAGACTTTGTAGGTTCATGGTGCGTTTGGTTTAAGGGTAAACTCCACATTACGAGTTCAATTCAAGGTAGCTATAAAAGAAGAAGCAATCGTATAAGTTCGAAAAAGCAGAAAGCATAATGTTCTTTTCACATTACCACCATGACGTAATTTCTTAATTTCAAAACATTACAGTTCGTTTATGTTGTCAACTCTTAACGATCATCTGAAATACATTGCCTAAGCTCTTAGTATTTTCACTTTCTTTCTTTGTTTATACTTTTCTGCCAGGGAATCCAGATATTAAAATTTATAGGCTGACTAGATCAATGTAACACTTCAACTCTTTACAATAAAATTAAGAAGTACTTGAAACAAAATTCGGCTAGAAAGGTGGGCGGCAAATAATGGGCCAACCAAAAACGGGTTACAATGTCTCTTTCCATGTAGCGTTCGGAGCAATTGTTGCAAAGTCCATCTCGACACCATAATTATGCTATATCATCACTCACAGGCCTGATCACTCCTGCACATAGTTACAACAAAATAATTATTTCAAACTTTGTATAGTATCAGTTAGAGCTTTGAATGTCCTAATAGCATAACACCTCTTCTGGTGTAGTATCAGTGATCATTTTATAACACATACCATAAAATTTAGGCTGAAAATTTGCAAGTACACTTAAACAGATTTTGGAGTTTGGTTCTTGATAAGATCTTGATCTAGAAGATCCTAGCTTGTTTCACTTGAATATTATTATACAGATCATCGTATTACATAACACAAGAGTTGAGTTTCATTTAACTAACAAGGATATGCACCAAAACCATGATCTAACCCACCCATGTATTATACAACACTAGTGAATATTTATTTGAAATCTAATGTCTATTATATACTTTAAAGCTAAGAAAGTGACATAGCATTGTCCCTTGGAATTCTTCAATGGATAAATAATCGATGACCACTTACAAAGACCTCAAGTCTTACAGAACTATCACTAAGAAATCCAAAAGTAACAAGTTTGGGCTACATAAAGTAATATAATATATGATCATCTACCATCATAAGGATGTTTCAATACAAGAGTCTTTGTTCCATCTACAAAACTTCTGTCATGGGGAAGCAACTTTGTTCACTTAAATGTGAAGTGAGAATAGTAGAAGCAAGAAACATAGACCTCAAGTCACAAGCTGCACTTGCTTAGATTGCGAAGTTTTTGCTTTTAATTGTGCTTTAGATAATAATTAAACAAACTCAAATAACATTTGATAGATAGTATAAGAAACCAGTTTTACACAACTCTTTTATTCAAAACACACCAGTAAAAACATAAAAAAAGGGAACATGGAAACTGAACCAGTTTCAAACATCTCCATGTCCAAGAAGAGCAACAAGCATGTCCTCATAATCACCAGAAGTGTCTTTAGCGACGGCTTGGTGCAAAGGAATGCTATTCCTTCGTTGATACTCCTCTTTGATACGTTCCATGTCAACTTCAGTTCTTGTAGTCACCACTCGGGTTAGTGCCCACTCATCTGTCCCCATTTTGTTAATTGCTAGACGCAAAACCTTTTCAAAATGCTTCTCAGGGTATGTCAAACAAGTTATTACAGCTCTTAGTAGCTTCAGGTATTCATTATCTGAATCTTCCTTCAAATTCTGGAAAAAAAAAATCCGACATATATTTAGCTGTCTGAACAAGACATTGAAGACAGAAGTGGTAGTTTAAGTTTTACCTTATTAATGACGTTTCCATAATCATTGTTGTAGTGGTTGAGAGTTGCACCGAGCTGTGCTTTGCTTCTTGTTGTCAAGATTCTGATGAAGTCATCATCACTGAAGGCTTTCTCTGAGACCTTCTCGTGAAGTAACTTAGCTTCAGATCTTGCAAGCCTCATGTTCACCTCATCTCCTTCGTACCTGAAAGTGCTAACAAGTGGAAGCAAGAGCTACAAAAAGAGAACAAAACGTCAACAACTAGAAACAACCAAACAGACTCATTTCAAGATTAGAATTAATTTATATTTGAACAAACGAGAATTCAACCTTAAGAATCAAAGAAACTTAAAAAAGCAAAACACTATTGAAGCAATTATCCGTAGCAAAACACTATTAAAGCAAATATCCTTTTAGAGTTTGTATATTAATTATGAAAATGAATATTTACAAGTATTTATACTAGTCTCGAAAATCCGATTTCTTTTTATCTTTAAGAAAACATCATAATCCCATTTATCCAGCCAAACAAATGTTTGTTTTTTACTAATGCAGATAAATTTGGAATTAATAGTATACTACCTTACGAAGGTCACCAGATGTGTGTTGAGCAACATCTTCCTCTAGTGATTTCTTGTAACGTGCTTGGTAAGCTTGCTTAACCTTGAAAAGATCAAGAGGAGACCTAGTGCAAGCGATTTCAACAATAACCCAATTGTTCTTGGTGAACATTTTGGTGGATTCTTTAGCAAGAAAAGCATCTCTCTCCGCTGGATCAAGAGTCCACAACATCACAACTCTCTGTTACAACCAAAAAAAAAAACTAATCAGTATTATATCTTAAGTGAATAAGACTCTTTTTGGAGAGTAATTATATATAAACCTCAAAGTCACTAGAAAGCTCTTTGTCTAAAGCCTTGAGGAGATCCTCATTGTAAATAGCGGCATAAGCGCTGCGTATTAAGCTGCGTTGTGCAGAGTTCCTGTGAGCTAGAATTGATATGATCAGCTTCTCGTTGGTACCCCATCCTGTATTTCATAACAAACCAAAACATTTTGAAGACAGTTTCTTATGAATCTTGAGTAGATGCTAAGATAAGATCCTGATCTTGTTATTTAAGAACAAAACAAAAATCAATGTAAGAAGATGATCATTGACCAAATAGTAAACAAGATCTAAGTAAATCATCTCTAGTCACCAATGTAGTGTATCGATAGAGAGAACCTGCAAAAGCCTTGTGGAGTTGCTCGGCGTCTTCTTCAGGACGAGGAACATTGGTTGGGATTTTGAGAGATGCCATTGTTGGGTTAAGACTTTGAGATCTCTTTATCTCTATGTGTCTTTTCGCTGTCTGTGTAATTGTAATGGATGTAATGCAGACGCACGTCTTCTGGCTTAAATAACGTAACGGAAATAATTTATGAAATAAGAAAGTAATCTTACAGCATTTAAGAATAAATATACAATAATTTTATATGGACATAGTTTTCTAATAAATAAATAATCTAACAGCTGTTTTTTCTTTAATAAAGAGATATGCCTTATTTTATGACACTAATATCTATATATTTTAAAACTAATAAATACTTAAGAAATTTCAATTTGGGTTTAATGAAGATGAATCAAGCTGGGATGATATAGTATATAGTATAAATTCATCCAACCAATCATTATTTCAAGTTTCTCAAAACGGCAGCAATTAAAATCAAATTTCAAAAGGAGATATAATATTTTAGCAAAAAAAAAAAGAGATATAATACCAAATTAAGCTAAAAAAATCTTTCAAATTATACTATAATCCAACTTCTAAGAGAAACTAACAAATCCAAATTCGAGTCGTGTCAAAATAACTTACTATATTTTATATACAAGTAAGAGATAACTAGTTTAAATATTTGAGCTAACATTTCTAGTACATTCTTTTAACTATTGGTATAAATTAAAGAGATACGATGTGTAAAGCAATGATAATGATGAGTTAACGCTTTACTTAATGGAGTTGAAACGTATCAAATTTTGATTTATAAGAAAACACTGATGGTCGATATATATAAAATAATACTTGAGAAAACGAGATTCTCTCAAATTAAAAAGAAGATAGCACAAGATTTTCATTTCTTAAACTTTATTTGTTTGTTTTTATAGTAAGAAAACGATGGAGGAGGAACATGGTTTGCTGTAAAGCTAAACTCTGAAAGGGGAGCAGTTACTCCGTCTACTCAAATTTGATTAAATCAAAATTTTAATATTTTTTTTTTTGTAAACACTAAAATTTAAATATATGAAAAAAAAGTTAGATGCCATACAGATCATATGTACAACTAATGAGGTTTAGGTAGCTGTGAAAATTTTATTCCCAAACTAAAAACACATATAGAAACGACGAAGACAGAGGAAAAAGTTCTAAAAACAACAGACAGCGACTCCGCTGGGGATCGAACCCAGAATCTCTGGTTTCGTAGACCAGCGCCTTATCCATTGGGCCACGGAGTCGTAGTTGTTCAATGATTACCATGACTAATAGTCATAATACTAAAAACAATCAAGTGATAGAACAAGTTGCAGAGCTACAAAATACTCAAACAACGTTCAAAATCTGAAATATCAAGCGTCCAAGATTTGTATGAACACACACGAGGTCTAGACAATCAGCAAAAAACTTAGGTACACATTAACACATGCATGCCCGGGAAAAGAGTAGTTACATCCAGTGGCTGATCTAGAAGTTACTTTTACCCAGGGCATTAGTGTATAATTTTGAATATCAACAATGGCAGTATACAAAAATGGTACACAATTACATGAAATTTTCAAATACCATAGGGGGCAACTGCCCCACCTAAAATAGGCATAGTTCTGCCATTGGTTACATCTACTGATCCAGCTTTATGTTCCTCATAAGCTACTACATGAACTCCAAAAGCTGCAAGGCCTGACAAGATAGCTTAATACATGGAGAATGAGTCCCTAGAGCACATGCATTAGAGGATTATAGCAAAGTTCACACGGATTCCGAAAGAGAGAAAAGAATAAAATAATGCACTTTCGGTGAACCCGTGTCACGCAGGCTCTCTGGGGTGATCCGGTATCATCACTATTTCGTGGGCCCCACGCCATGTGGCGGCCCACGATTGGCTCTTTTATATTTTTTTTTTTTTTTTTTTTTTATAAATAAACGAAAAAAAATAAAAAAAATAATAAAAAAAGCATGATGAACTCCCCTCAAGGGGATCATTAATGCATATGCTCTAATGATCTGAATCCAAGTTTCTCACGTATTGAAAATGTGCAAGGCCCATTTGTCTTTAAAACGGGCCTATAATATTATACCCGTAGCCCAATAGGCCCAACTCAACCAAATCTCATCACATAATGGGAACAACGTGGGACAATGTTTTCGATCGATGACGTGTCAACCACATTTCATCGTCACACTTTCACCAAAGACCTACCTAATATTCTCTCTTGCGCCGAGAACGATGGTGGTAGTGAGAGCAGTGACATAGATTAAAAAAGCTTAAAGCTTGAGAAGTGCGCAAAGTACACGTTTTTATAAAAAAAAGCTTCTTCCTTTCGATCTGATTCTGCTCAAAGTTTCCGACTTTCATTTTCCTTCTCTTAATTTGTCGTTTTTTTTTCAATCAAAACCCAGTAAAATAATGCGTGGTCTTGATCAATGGATTGCTGACGCAATCAAATCAGATTCACTATTTTCCGACCAATCTGTATCTTCCTCGTCTGTCTCCTTTGTTCCCTGTAAGAACTGCACAGTCAGTTCAATGGGTTTTGTCGGAAAATCAACGTTTTTGAAGTTTAGGAAAAGAGACAGAACCAGAGGAGCTCTGTTTTTGTCAGTCAGTTTATCTATAAAGGAGGAAGAAGAAGGTGAAGGGTATAATGGTCAAAACGGTTATAAATCTCTTAAGTTGAAAGACTCTGTGTTGATCAAAGCTGAGGAGAAGAAGATTAAGGTTAAGGAGAATGGATCAGGAGCTCTCAATACCACTAAGCATCTATGGGCTGGTGCTTTTGCTGCCATGGTTTCAAGGTCTCTCCTTTCTTTCTTTACTTTGATACTCTTGAGAGGTTTTATATTAGATTTGTATCAGAATTGTTCAATAGTTAGTCTAAATGTGTAGACTTTCTAGTGTTATGGTTACTTATTACTTAGTATCAATGTTTAAGAAATCATTAGGCTGTAACTAGGCTGCAATTAGGCAGATTATTTGGTGCTAAACATAAACATGTACATTTACTTTACATGTTTTAGTTTTTTTTTTGTGTGTAATTATAAAATTATTTTGCTTAATTATAGAAATTAGGTGTACAAAAAAGAAATTAGACAAATTTATAGATTTTCACTAACATTATTGCTTGATTAACATAATAAGAAAATGTAGTTTTTTTTTTTTTAGTTATAAAATTATTTTGCTTAATTATAAATTTAGATGAAAAAAGAAATTAGACAAATTTATGGATTTGTACTAACATTATTGCTTGATTATATCAATTTAGATCGATTTAAAAAAAAATTGAATCGGTTTAAACTGAGTTGAATCGATTTAAATTGGATTTTAAGAAAATTGTTTCGGATATAACCGGTTTTCAGAACATTGCTTAGCACTGATCTGGTTGTTGAAGTTGGGTGGCTCATTGAGTTATAGGCTTTTCATTTGTGAGCAGAACTTGCATTGCACCACTTGAGAGGATGAAGCTAGAATACATTGTCCGTGGAGAGCAACGAAACCTCCTTGGACTCATTAATAGGATTGCAACAACAGAAGGCATTAGAGGATTCTGGAAAGGAAACTTGGTTAATATTCTTAGAACCGCTCCTTTCAAGTCCATCAACTTCTACGCATATGATACATATAGAGGCCAGCTTCTGAAACTCTCTGGAAACGAAGAAACTACTAACTTCGAGAGGTTTATCGCCGGTGCAGCTGCTGGAGTAACAGCTAGTTTACTTTGTCTACCACTAGATACTGTAAGAGAGGAATCATACCCTTGAAGCTTCTTTTTTTAAAACCATTGTTTAGATTCTTTTGGTATTGAAATTGCAGATAAGAACTGTTATGGTTGCACCTGGTGGAGAGGCACTAGGTGGTGTGGTTGGTGCATTTCGTCACATGATTCAAACGGAAGGTTTCTTTTCTTTATACAAAGGTCTTGTGCCTTCACTTGTTAGCATGGCTCCTGCAGGAGCAGTGTTCTACGGTGTGTATGATATCTTGAAATCATCTTACCTTCATACACCGGAAGGGAAGAAAAGGCTTGAACACATGAAACAAGAAGGTGAGGAGCTGAATGCTTTTGATCAGTTAGAGCTTGGTCCAATGAGGACTTTGTTGTATGGAGCAATAGCTGGGGCTTGCTCAGAGGCAGCGACTTATCCTTTTGAAGTTGTGAGAAGGCATTTGCAAATGCAGTCACATGAGAGGAAGTTGAGCACAGTGGCTACTTGTGTGAAGATTGTTGAACAAGGTGGTGTTCCTGCTCTATATGCTGGCTTGATTCCCAGCTTATTGCAGGTATGGTTCATTAAAACTAATGAATGATTGCCTTAAAATCTTTACCTACAACTTTGTTAATAATCCTCTGATAATTGCAGGTTTTGCCTTCAGCAGCGATTAGTTACTTTGTGTATGAGTTCATGAAAGTTGTCATGAAGGTAGAATCAACACAATAGCTAGTCTTATAGCTTCAAGTTACTTCTGAGAAGAGTTTTTTTTTTTTGGGTTTTTACTCTGAAGCTTTGTTATCCCTTTGACATGGCCACATTGTTTGTGAAACAACTAAATAATAAAGATATGGAAACTCCAATTTGGTTTCCTATGTTCTGATCTATAAAAGCTTGGTTGTGTAAAAAATACAAACATACATAATCACTGCCCATAAAGACAGGGAACAACAACAACAACACAGATTCTTCTTCTTCATAACTAGAATCACAATTGGCTTTGAGACATCAAGTTAAGACCACACCACATGAGTCTTTGAGCCTCTCTTTACGGTTGCCATCCATATTGTTGGTTTCTAGCACCACTCATTGAGTTCTGACCTCTCCCAGAGCCACTGTACTGACCACCACCTTGTGAATAGTTAGGTGGTCCAGTACCGTACCCACCGCTAGGTCCTCTAGGACCAGCACCATAGGACGCACCTCGACCTTGTGGAGGATATGAGCCGCTGCTGTAACCTCCACGGCTCTGACTATTATAACCACCGGTTTGGTTTCCGCTAGGAGGGTACCTGTTTGGACCAGGTGCACCACCGCCACGGGACTTTTGATAGTAGTGGCCACCAGCAGGTAGTTGTGGTGGTGGTCCGTTGTTAACAGGGTGGTTTGGTCCTGCAGGCCAATGTGAAGCGGCGTGAGACTGACCAACACCGTGTTGCTGTGGAGGCAAACGAGTATGTTGCTGTGGAGGATGCTGCAGTTTCTGTTTCTTGGCTGCTTCCTCGTTATGACGCATTTGTTGCCGCTTTTTCTTTGTTTGGAACTCGTGTGATGATTCATATGTTGGTAGACTGTTTCCGAAAAATGAATGAGTTTATCATAAACAATAACAAAGTTAGAGAATTAAATTACCTCTTTGGATCACACGGCAACGGATCAGTCCAAAAGTACTCTGCGTCAAGAGCATCCTTTGCAGATATTCTCTGGACCAACTTAAATGTGTCAAGATCCATAGCTCTTAATCTATGCAATCTAATACGTTAGATTAGTTTCATACCTGAGACGGGTCAAGCACCAACATTTTCTCCAGTAGTTCAAGAGCATGACGATCAAAACTATAGCACAAGAGAAAACACCAAAAATGAGATCTCTTATTTGGTTAAAGAGAAGTGTTGCAACAAACTATACATAATGGTTTTATACTTACTGTCGGTAGACCTCTCTCACACGTCTCTTCAAGGGCCGAGTTGATTTCATTTGGTTATACCAAGGCATCTTTGTAACCCCAGGCCAGTTGTTTTCATCAGGTGAGCCACACAGTTCATATATCTTATTCAATTGTTCATTCTGTGGAAACAAACATTGGAGTAAGATTCTGTAAGTGGACACAACATCAAATTGAAAGATGGATACACTGACCTCAGTTTTCCCAGGCAAGATTGGTTTACCATTCAAAAGTTCAGCAAATATGCAACCAACAGACCACATGTCAATCGCTGGTCCATATTTTGTGGCACCAAGTAGCAATTCAGGAGGCCTAAGGCAACAACCAATACATGATTCAGGAAAAGCCAGACTTATAACTTCAAATTTTTGTAAACATACATACCTATACCAAAGTGTGATGACACGGTTAGTGAGATTTCCACTATGATCATGAGAATAAGACCGTGCAAGCCCAAAATCAGCAAGCTTTAAATTCCCCTCATTATCAATAAGGAGATTAGATCCTGCACCAACATATATATATGGTTAAACTAGCAACTAAAAGGTGAGACAATAAAATGTATTTTTAAGGTTAGTCACCTTTAATATCACGGTGAAGGACTTGATTCACATGACAATAATGAAGCCCAGTGAGAAGTTGCTTCATGTAACACTTTTGACATGTGTGGAAATATCAGAGACAAAGCCGGAAGAACAAAATAAGGTTTTTGCAAAGGCTACAAGAACAATGTATCTTAGCCATGCAAATACCTTAATCTGAGGAACAGTGAATCTGAGTCCAGGACGATCAGCAAGTCCAGTCAAGTCATGATCCATATACTCAAAGACCATATAGATTCCACCTTTGTATTTGTTATTATCTAAAAAATAGGATCAAAGAGTGTGTTAATAGATCTAACCTAGTCGGTATCTAACCTCTCTAAAGATAAGTTTAACACTAACCTGGCTTCCCTTGATCATCCCTATCTCGACCTTTTAAAGACAAAACATGTGTCAATCTCTGAAGTGACATGACATGTGTTATGTTCTTCATTAATACCTGGAGAAGTGACAATCTCTTTTAAGTGGATGACGTTTTCATGATGAAGCTTCTTCAGAATCTTAATCTCCCGTATAGCAGTTATAGGAAACTATCAAGCAAAAAAACTGATTATATTAGTTTGCAGCTTTTGTAAAGATAGTAGTGAAAAATGTAGCTTTTACTTACTCCTTCTCTTTCATTATCCATACGAATCTTTTTCAATGCCACAATTTCACCAGTTTTAATATCTTTAGCCATGTAAACTTGTCTGCAAAATTCAAAACCAAAACATAATGACTCAGCTATTAATGTGTCCAAGTGGATTGATATAAACATAGACAAATCTAGCTTGAGATGTTCTTCACAAAAGATACATTTTTAAAAAAAAATCACCAAATCAAATAGACATGCAAATTCGATTTTCAATTAACTCAATCAAAGGTACATAAAGCAATTATTTTTATTGATAAAAATTCGAACTTTATGATCAAAATAAGAAACCCACAAACCAAAATAGAAGAATTGATAAGAAGAGTACCCGTAAGTGCCTTCACCAATTTGTTCGAGCTTCTCGAAGCAATCGACACTGCGAGAGCCACGAATCGGAGGAGGCTCCTCCAGATTCAGCTGCCCAGAAGCAGCAGCTGTCATATTTCTCCGACCAATTGATTCAGATAACTTAGGTTAGTTCTCTCTCTCTCTCCTTGCCGGTTTTAGCCCCTTTCGGTGTCGGGTTCGCGGACAGCCTAAGCTTTTTTTAATCCGGATAAAATCTGGTTCAAACCGGGTTTACATTAAACCGGTTCAAACCCTTTTTTGGTTCAAAAATAAATGCATAACCAAAAACATTTTTGAAAATATTCGAAAATAAATAAGCGAATTTAACTGGAATAACCGAATTTAACCAAAAATATTCAAATATTTTAAAGAAAATTATACTGAAATTAACAAAAAATCAAATCGGTTATTTTCCGAAAAAAAAAAAAAACTGAAAACTGAAAATAACTGATAACCAAACCAAAATTTAATTCGGTTAATTTCGGACTTGATTTTAAAAATTCGGTTAACTGAAAACCGACTGTTCAGTTTCCAATCTCTATACTGAGGCAACAAGTAATGTATTACTATATTTTTACCAAAGAGTGTCCTAATTTCTACAACATCTCTATACACAAGACCAAATTGGTTTACCTCAAGTTGGACCTAGCCAATGTGAACTTTTACACACAGGAAAAAATGATAAATAAATGGGTGGATAGACATGGGTTGTAGATGTTCAAATTCGAACACACTATTAATGGGCCGTCGATTTTCCTATACGGATTATGAATGGGCCTAATAAACCATACAAGCTGAAGCTGATTATCTTTATGACTAAAGCTCCATGCATGCTGAAGCTGATTATCTTTATGTTAATCGGTTAGTAAACAATAACACTAAACTTGATTGTATTATTAGATTCACATTCAAAACATATGACTACATAAGTACTATCATATTTACAGCTTTGTTTGTACATATTTGCATTTACTTTAATTTTGAATGAGTGTGTGTGTGTGTGTTTTTGTATATATACCATAAAGACTAGTATAAAACGTATAAGTTTACATGAATCCTAGTTGATTTTGCCTCCTTTTCCTGAGCTTGGCTTCGGCTTAGACTTACTCTTCTGCAACATCCGCTCTGTTGTTTCAACGGTCATTTCATCTTCATCCTTCTTCATCTCGATATAGTCTTCTTCCTCGCTGTGAGATGACACAGAAGAGCCAGAAGAAGAAGATGGAGAACTTTCGAGATCAAGATACTTCAAGATAGGAGTTGTTGCTGAAGATTGATCAAATAATATTAATGGGATCTGATGAGAGTCCCCTTCTTCACTATTTATCAGATTCTCCATTGTTGATTTCTTGAAAATTTTCTCTTGTTAGTGTTCTTTGAGAGAGAGATATTGTGTGTAGTTAGGGTTGTGATGGAACTTGTTAACGCAGTTGCTACTCCTTTTAAAGGGATAGGTATCATCACATCACTAGGTTGTTGGTCAATTATTTTTTTTGTTGACGGAGTCTATAGCAAACCGGGTTTGTTAGGTTGAGATCGACTTTGAACTAGTTGCTGTTGGTATGAACAATACTGAGATGCATATTTGACTTATGGTAAGAGTGTGATTATGAAATATGAATTAAATAAAAAGAATATAAAAGGGTGAAAATGAAAGGGAAAAAAAGGGGAAAATATATTTCATCTTGTTTGAGTTGGAGTAAATTTGTTTATATAGTTTACCTTCATTAAACAGTAACTAGAGAAAACAAGATAAAAATAACTTTAACATGATTGATAAATTTTCAGAGCAAATAAGAGTAAATAATTTTTTCCTTGATTATTTACTCTAAATGTGATATATAGTCAAGGCCTAAAACGTGAAAATAACAGTGTTGACTTTGATCTACCCGGTCAAAAAACAGAGGTGGGAACGTCTGGTCTTTGGTCAAAGTCAATCCATCGCTCTTTCTTTGGTTTTTGTTTGAACAAAAGATGTTGAATTGGTAATACAATTGAAAATCTTGTTTATTCACATAAAGACAAAGTTTTGTTGTGTGTTCTTGATAATGCTCGAGGTTAATGGAACGTTGGGAGTGGACCTAGCTCCTCAAAGATTAATCAACACTAATCAAATTTAATCAGAAATTTATTTTAGAATTTAGAGATGTCAAAAATAATTACCTGACACACAAAAGGGAAAATATATTGTTGTTTTAAAAAATGAGATATAATATTGAGAGGAAACAAATGTTTAATTAAGTGATTATGAATCCTCCATTTTTTGTTTTAATTATTTAGTTTAACATATTCAACAATATAAACATTTTAATCGTAAAGAGGTATATAAAATCATAACCACAATCATTGATATGAAAATAATTGCTCTTATCAAATAACTAAAATTAACTTAAGAAATTAATGGTTGGACAAAGGACTGGATTTTCTTGCACACATATAAAAAAGTTATGAGACTACTATGAATTAAATTTGAGGATCCAATTTTATTTTTTTTGCTGGAGTTTATGCTTTTACTGACAAAATGTGTGATAAATTATCTTAATTTCTTATTATTCCTTTGGCTTGATGCATTTATGGCCACTAGATTAACTATTGTGGTTCCTTAGACAAACTGGAAGATAATGATTATTTGTAGGATTGTCGACAAAAAAAAAAGATTATTGTTGGGTTTATTATACAGAACTCCAATTTTATGTCTCATCACACCTTGTTTAATAGTTATTGGTTATGGACCTTCCATTGACGCGAGACCTGTCAAGTGTCAACACGTATGGCTTAATGACTTATGGGTTTTATGAAATCTCTTCTGAAGAATGTTTAATTGTTTATATTGGAAGTTGGTGTTGCATGCTCCTCGGGGTTGTGACACTAGGAATATTTAAATGTTGTTTGATACATAATATATGTAACTCGTAGAGAGCATCCTACCTGGCTACATGTGACCTTTGTATTTAATATTGTTTATTTATATGCTCACACTTGTGAATTTGTGGTATGGTCATCCCCCCAAGAGTTTTTTCTTTGCATTTTACATCATTAGAACTTTTTCCGAAAACATTAACTTTGTTTTACTAACCTGAGCGTCCCAAGCCTAGAATAATCACTAAATAAAAATATAATTTATGGAAGGACTATGACTATCGCTTCGAATATTTAAAAAGAACCTAATGCATGACCTCTTCTATGTGATTAAAATCCGTGGTAGTACCACTAGATTCCTATCTTGTGGTATACTTGTCATATATAAATGTACATAACTTTATATACGAAAACGTTGGATAAAGAAAAATCCTTAAACTTGACAATTTTTTATCATTTTGATTAGTAATACGTATAATGGTAGAATGATTTTGAGTTTTGCTGTTATTTTTCAGTCTCCAACCGAATTCCAATTTTTAATCCAAAATGGAGTAAAAAAAAAATGGAGTAAAAAACACTTAAATCCAACTCTATTTTCCATTCTATAATAGAGTTCACTCCATAAATAGAGTAATCTATTTTTTTATTCTTCACTCTATTATGGAGTGAGATATAAAATAGTGATGGAACATTTTTATTCTATATTCACTTTTATTTCATTTTGAAGAAAAAAATAGAATATTATATTAGAGATGCTCTTAGGCTGGTAGTGATTATGCGTTCCTCTATTTCGTCGTTCCACTAGTTTTCTTTTTGAAAAAAAATACATTCCATCATTTTGCAGTTTAAAATTAAAATGATTTTATTCATTCTTGTGTTTATTCATTTTGTCGTTTTGCTTTAAAATATAGTAATACAATGTTGCAGATTGCCACATTTAAAACTATAAACTATAAAGATAGCTTAGTTGATTCATACGCATAGACTTATCGACCAATTATTAATGTGGTGTTAGCACGAGCTGTTGACTCTTATTCTAATCCACGTCTAATGTTTAACATTGATTAGGGACAGATGGTTTGGTAGTACTGGTTATGAAACTTATGGTTGGTCGGACGTTTTTTTATTTTTTTTGCTGAACCCAATTATCATACCACCTTTTTCTTTATACAAAATAAAATCGGATCAAATATTATAATTTCTTGTACAACCCTAACTTGACGACGATTAAAAAACAATTATTATACTTCATAAAACAATGTATTGAGAGATTTCTTTCAGCTCATATATTATTTTGGAATTTAATGAGGTTTATGTTGTTTTATTCAGATTGATGGACTACCATAAGTTCTTAATTTCATCAAAACAAATACAAATAACAATGAAACTAAGTAGTTGTAGTAGTAAATATCATGGAGAGTGCACTGTAAATTAAACACATTAGACTGCAATGTAAATGAATTAATTAAAGATCGTAATCGTGATGCTTGCCAGGGCTGCCCGAGCTTTTCTGTTCCCTCTTCTTAATCTTTGCTTTGGGCTTTGCGCCCCTTCTCGTCGCTGCGCTTTTAGTGCCCCTACTCCTCACAGTGAGGTTTTCTTCCATCACAACCTCTTCCTCCTCCTCCTCTTCTTCTTCTTCCTGCAAGTAAATTTATATTCTAGATAATGTTACTTGACTGAATAATAACCTTCCTTATACAATCACTTTTGTCATCCAAACTAAATTTGATGCAGTTTAGCAAAAATAACAATTTGATGTTTTAATACAAAATATTTAACAGGATATACATTTTTTTTGGTAACATGTTAAATTACATGATATACATCTCCTAAAGTATATTTACTTTGAAAATAAATAAACTAACTCAAAAATAACTGAACAAAATAATAAAAATACATATAACCGCCATACGATTGTTAAAATATACCTTAAAACATTTTATCAAAACATTATTTTAAACTTTTAAACAGAAAACTTTAATGATTCCCCCCTAAATTAGTTGCCACTCATGCACCACCAATTTATCATACACACAACACCAAGAAAATAATAATTTCATATTAATTAATCCATAATATTCTCTTGAATATTCATGAATAAATATTGTTAAAGAAAGCTTACCGGCTGGTTAGAAGTCCCTGGAGACGACTCCGTTTTCGTGGGTGAAGAATCTTGATGAAGAAGACCAAGGCATTTGAGGATAGCTTTAAGAGTTTGATCAAGGAACTTAAATGGTATCCACCAATAAGTTTCTTCTTCACTTAGTCTCTCATATTTTTCCATTGAGATTAGATCTCAGCTAAGAAAAGTTATAGTAGAGAATAAACTTGGTGAGAGGAGTGGAAACTATTCTATAAATGTGAGTGAATGAGCAGATAGATCACAGAGACAACTTTGCGTTTTATAGTGGGTTAACTCGGTATTTGGTGTGGGTCTTTAATATAGTATACATTTTCTTAAATCATGGCTTTGGGATATGATTAAGAAAATAATTGCAAATCACTCATATAAAATATATTTATCTGTTATTGAACATGTGGGTTTAGGCTTTAGGTGGATTGATGACTCTACATTCTACTAATAATTTAACATTATATATTTGAATAAGTCTTACAAACAAAATCGAGCCGAAGATGTTGTGTGTTTTGCATCTTGGGGTTGTCACTTGTGAGTTGTTAGGCTATTTATATAAAGCACAGGTTTTGGAGACCGTCGAAGAAGTTGTGTTGTGTCATGTGATAATTGATCTAGGTAATCTAACTAACTTAGTATTATTTGCTTGAAATATTCTGCATTATTTAACTAGACATTAATAAATTGCAATTACATAGCTTAGTTATGTTGATCAGATCCGTCAGGCGTCAAAAGTAACTTTTCCAGTCTCTCTTATCTCTGAATTTAGAGCATTTCCATTCTTTAGAAATTTTATTAAAAGCTATAGTATATTGATAAAATTAAAAATATCAGTTGTGCACTCTACAAAAAGTGTCTTTATTGATTCAATCGTGATCATGTGAAAGTGGTCAAACAGTTTCCCGTTCACTAGCAAATTTACTAAGTTTTTTCTTTTTCATACTTTAGTTAACTGTATATGTTTTATTTAGGTGAAGTTGATCATCTCTAAAATGTGATGCTCTTTTTTTTGAAAGTTTTTGCGATTGGTGGACTTGACCTGTAGTTTCCAGATTGGATATGACTAGTAGTCAAATTACAAATTCAGTATATTACTACTAAAATTTAATCAGAAACTAATGCTCAACTTTGATATTGTCATATTCTTTACACGATGAAAGATGTTTGAACCTTCTTGGATGCTTCACCTACTATATATCCATAATCCATCCACCATTATCCAGTAGAACCTTTATAAATTAATACTCATTAAATTAATAATTTATATAAATTAATAAATTTTATAGGTTCCAATTTGGATCTATTCAAATTTTAACACAAACTGGTAAAATAATAATATAATTCCATATAAATATATGATCCCATTAATGATATAAATTAATAATTTATATGTATACATATTTTATATAAGTAAGAACCTATCATTATATTGTTTGTTTTCTATTTACAATGAAATTATCTTTATATTTTCTTAACCCTCAATATATTTTTGATGATTTTAAGTGTCAAATTATAGTTTTTGTAATATTATATTTTTTTTACCACAGTAATATTATATCTAAAACCACATTTAAATTATATGCAATATATATTATACACACCAAATAATATAATAAAATTAATATTAATGTTCAATTTCACAAATAATAACTAATGTCTATACACTAAAATCAAATATTTTTCATAATTTATAACAAACAAATCTTAAAATAAGAAATTTTTGTAAAATAATATTTCTATAAATTTGAATATTTCAAAATCCCAACATTATTAATTTATAGATGTTCTACTGTATATCTTACATATTATTTAATTTTATACAAATAAAGATAAGCATTAAACACCATTACAAATCTATCATATAAAAATACTAGCTAATATGAAAAAGTATAATGTATGTATATATTAACACAATTCTTTTGCCATCGTCAACTAAATAAAATCAAAGCAATTTCGAAGAAGGTATCGTTTGAAAATCGTATAATACATTTACATAAACTATATCATTAACTTGCTATACAAGAAAATTTTAGAAGAAGTTGTCAAAATATTTGAAAAGTCGTGTAGATCACTCAATAGAAAAGGCAAGAGTTATGTATCTCCTACTTGAAAATTAAAAAATAATACTTTTGTACATTTTCCTCTGATTTTCCTAAATACGCGTTTTGAGGAGCTATATAAGTCAAACCGTGCATCTCAAGAAACACAAAAAGACAACCTAACGTTCCAAAGAGGAGGAAAAATGAGTTACAGAGTCGCTAGAGCATCGGAGTATCTTGCCATCACCGGTGGCGGTATCGATGACATCAAGCTTGCCAAGAAGTCTTGGGTGTTTCCATGGCAATCTTGCACCGTCTTCGACGTTTCTCCGGTCAACTACACGTTCGAGGTTCAGGCCATGAGTTCCGAGAAACTCCCTTTTGTCATCCCCGCCGTTTTCACCATTGGTCCACGCGTCGAGGACCCTCACGCTCTCTTGTTGTACGCCATGCTTATGTCTCAGCACGAAAAGCACTCGAACCACGTCAATGAGCTTGTTCAAGGTGTTATTGAAGGAGAGACTCGTGTTCTTGTTGCCTCCATGACCATGGAAGAGGTCTTCAAAGGTATAATCATATATACACGTCTTTTATCTACTTCTCATGGAATTTATTGAATTTGTGTTGGGGTTTTTCAAGTTTATATATATATATTAGTATGACATTGTCTAATTTAGATCCAAGAAATCATATCTACAAAGATTTTTTTTGTACTTATTCTCAAAAGTTTTTTTTACTAATCAGTTGAACATTGCATATATAATATAAATTATTTGTCTAAACTTCCGATGTGGAATTTTTGTATTTCAACAGTTTGTTAGGTGGGGTGAACTAGGGTTTTTCAAGTTTATATTAGTATGACATTGTCCAATTTAGACCCAAAAGATCATATCTACACAGATTTGTTTTTGTATTTATTCTCAAAAGTTTTTTACTTATCAGTTGAGCAGTACTTATATAATATAAATTACTTGTCTAAACTTCCGATGTGGAATTTTGGTATTTCAACAGTTTGTTAGGTGAGATGAACTAGGGTTTCTCCGGTAAAATGCGTGTGTGTTTCTTTTTGCTTGTATCACAATCCAATTCTTGATTTATTGTAGGAACAAAGGAGTTCAAGAAAGAAGTATTTGAAAAGGTCCAACTTGAGCTAAACCAGTTTGGGCTTGTGATCTACAACGCCAATGTCAAGCAGCTCGTTGACGTGCCTGGACATGAGTACTTCTCTTACTTGGGTCAGAAGACTCAGATGGAAGCAGCTAACCAAGCCAAGATCGATGTAGCTGAAGCAAAGATGAAGGGAGAGGTCGGTGCCAAGGAAAGGAATGGGCTCACAATTCAGAATGCAGCAAAGATTGACGCTGAGTCAAAGATCATCTCCACTCAGAGGAAAGGAGAAGGGACAAAGGAAGAGATTAAGGTGAAAAGTGAGGTCCAAGTGTTTCAGAATCAGAATGAGGCTCTTGTTGCTCAAGCTGATGCAGCACTTGCGATTCAAAAGGCTGCTTTGACCAAAAGCTCTCGTGTGGCTGAGGTTGAAGCTGCCAAGGCAGTTGCTATGAGGGAAGCTGAGCTTCAAACTCAAGTTGAGAAAATGAATGCTTTGACTCGGACAGAGAAACTTAAAGCTGAGTTCCTCAGCAAAGCCACTGTTGAGTATGAGACCAAGGTAACGCATCATCTCAATCTTTTATACCATTTTTTTTAAATTCTCTCTCTCTCTTTCTTTTGAATCATGATTTTAAAATTGGGTTTATCGGCTTCTAACTTAAAGTTAATTGTAAATAGGTAGATTGGTTATAACATTTTACATACTCCCTCCGTTTTATATTAAGTGTCGTTGTAGAGATTTTTTTTGCGTTACAAAATAAGTGTCGTGTTTTTCGGTTTTCAATGCAAAATTTATTAATTTTACTATGTAATTAGTTTTTTCTATTGGTTAAAATATGGTTAGGTGTATAGGTAACTGTGTTTTTATATATGAAATATGTAAATTAATTGTTTCCTTAATCCGTGTGCACAACTATAGAGTGACACTTATAATGAAACAGATGGAGTATTAGTTAATTATTCTTAAATTCTAACTTAAAATCAGTTAACCATATTTGAACTGATATGAAATTTTATATATTATTTGTGAATTATTTTCCAACTAGCGATATGAGACTTTTTATTGTTATGACAGGTGCAAGAAGCAAACTGGGAGTTATACAACAAGCAAAAGAAAGCAGAAGCTGTTCTATACGAGAAGCAGAAGCAAGCTGAGGCGACTAAAGCCGCAGCTGATGCCGCCTTCTATGCTAAACAGAGAGAGGCAGAGGGACTTGTCGCCATGGCCAATGCTCAAGGGACTTATATCAAGACTCTCCTAGGTGCAGTGGACAATAACTACTCAGCAATGAGGGACTTCTTGATGATCAACAATGGAGTTTATCAAGATATTGCCAAGACCAATGCTATTGCCATCAAGGACTTGCAGCCTAAGATCAGTGTGTGGAACCAAGGAGGTGGTGGTGTTGATCAGGGGATGAGTAGTGGTGGTATGAAGGATATTGCTGGACTCTATAAGATGTTGCCACCGGTTCTTGATACGGTTTATGAGCAGACTGGTATGCAGCCACCGGCTTGGATTGGTACACTACGTGGTGCTGAGTCCAGACAGTAACTTCATGGTCAACAACACAGGCGTTGAGAGTTTCAAGGGTGCTTTCTTTTTATTTTATTTTATGCTTGACTGGGAAATATGGTTTTTAATCAGCGTTTGTATATAACCACAATGTCATCTCACAATCTTGACTGAGAAATATGGTTTTTAATCATGTTTTTCTTTGACTTTGTGAATAATTTGGCTTTAATCAAAGTGTGTTTATTATTTTATTTATATGATAGCATCAGTTGTTGAAGTTGTATATTGAATATTGACTAGTGGGTGAAACTGCGTATGCAGTTGACAAAACAAAATGCTTGTCTAGCTTTACACAACGGAGTTGACAAAGAAAACCATTACATGAAGGCAGATATATTTTACTTAAATATAGTTTTGTAACATTGTTTTATATATACATACAAGTTTATTCGTTCCAAATTGTGATAAGTTACATCATTAATTTTTGTAAAGTCATACCTTATTGTGAGTCATGAATCCAGAGAATCCAGACTATCCAAATCCAAGCAAATACTTGAAACTAGATGATAACCCGCGCCATGCGCGGAGTGAGCTTTTTAAAAATATGTTGTATTTAAATATATATTTTGCTATCATAATTTTTTTATATTTGATTAGAGATAGGCATTTGGAAACCATTTGGTTCGGTTAGATTTTGTTTGATTTAGATCTTTGCGGTTTGGTTCGAATTTTTGCAGGTTCAGATTGGGTTTAGTTTCGGATAATCCGTTTATTTTTTTTTATAAAAAAGATTGAAATTCATATATACTTTAAAATTTTCAAAATCTAAAAGTAAAAAATAATATATAACATATAAATTTGAAAAATGAATGCCAAAATACTTAAACTTAACATAAAATTGCTTTATCATAAATATTTGGAAAAAAA